CAGATCTGCCCCATTTTTAGCTTTATTCTGATAAATAGGTTGCCATGTTATGCAACAGCTGGGGCCAGGGCTTGATCTACACTGTTTGGGTCGTCTGCGTGGGGGTACATGATGTTGACAGACCTGAAACATGTCAGTATCGATTCTCAGTCATCCAGATAATGGTTGTCCTAGGAGCTTCAGTAAAAAGCAACTGGACTTTTCTTTTTGATTCTTGAAGACATTTCCCCTCTCATCCAAGAAGCTTCTTCTACAATAATAATAATAATAATAATAATAATAATAATAATAATAAATCAGATTTATATAGCGCTTTTCTAAGTCAAGGAGTAACTCAAAGCGCATACACTGTCAATTATTCATTCACACACATTCATTCTGGTGGTGGTATCTACAATTGTAGCCACAGCCGCCCTGGGGCAGACTGACAGAGGCGTGGCTGCCATCCTGCCCCTCAGACAATCCATTCATACGCATTCACACCAGGCAAGGTGGGTGAAGTGTCTTGCATAAGGACACAATGACCATGGCCAAGCAAAGTAGACTTCAAAATGTTGTAGAGCATACAACATTGCAAGGATTTCTTTTTCAATAGTTGAGGCCCTGAGTTAATGTTTGTCAAACTTCCTTGAAAAGTAGCCTACAGGATGGTCGATGCCCTGGAGATCCTCTTGCAGGAGTACAGCTCCAGCTCCAACAGCACTAGCACCTGTGCTCTTGAAAATGGGGGCTCTTCTTTTCTAGCCTGTATTTGTATTAGTAATTTCAGTTAAATCCATTTTAAATGGACTTAAGTAAATTATGCTTGCTCTCAATTATTTTTTGAGCTCATTCAAATCATTTAAATTGCTTAATTACTGAAAAATTTGATGAAATTCCGTCCAATTATGAAAGTTGAATTTGTAGGATTATTTTCCACTATTGTTATTAATAAAGCTGACTGCAGGCTTGTCATGCCTATCATGCCATCAAAGGCGGCAGTCTCCATCTTGCAACCCCTGACCAAGGACAAATTCTTATTGGGTTGCGTGACAAGACAGTGACAAGGCTGTGACTAAGTTTGCTGCACCGATGGGGACACAACAGCGGCGATGATGGCAGTGATGATGGTGACGTCAGTTTGCTGCTGACATGTCATGACAGTCCTCATTAAAAGTAAGCTAAGCAGACCTTACAGCAGGGCACTGCTGCCAGATCACATAATTATTGAAGACGCATTAAATACAACCAGGTCAAAGAGGTCACAGAAACACAAAAAGGTCCCTGACAGAGGTTCTTATTGTTAAGGTTTCAAAAGGACAATGCTTTTCCTACAAAGGTAAATGAAGGTCTGTTTTTTTTAGTTGCATGATTTATGTCTCAAGTCGTATTTTTCCATTCACATCTGTAGCTTGTGTGTATGTGTAAGGAAAAAGGGGTTTTAATAGTTAATGCTTCACAGGTCAGTAATAATCAAAGGTCATTTCAGGGCTGTCAGCTGTTGATTGAGCCTTTCCTTAGCCCCCTCTATTCTTACCACTTTTTCCTGTCATGTTTCAACACAAAGAACAAGTAGAGGACTTCGCTTTTTCCTCGCAAAGCAAGTTTTGTCCCACAACAAAACATTTCTTTCATGGATGTATGCAAATGTATCAAAAGCATTGATGAACCCTCCGTGGTGTCAATAGAATAGAGTAGAATAGAATATCTTTATTATCATTATACATGCACAACGACATTATATGCAAACTTTTTTCAAGTGCAAAACAGCAAAACGCACCAAGTCTGAGGTATATAAATAAACTGAACAAGTCAAGAAAAAAAATGCTTCTAAAACTAACTATAGAAAGATAGGGGTTTTTTTCTTAAAAAAAAGAAAGAAATATTCCTAAAAGGAAGAAAAGAAAAACACAACACACCACACATACAAGACAGTTGATATTGCACACTGACGTTTAGGCAGTGTTAAGTGCATTTACAGCTTTTGGGTAAGAACAGCTTTTTAGTCTGTTTGTGTTTTTATTATCCTGAAGCTTCTGCCTGAAGGTAGCAGTTCAAACAGAGTCTGTCTGGGTGGGGTGGGTCTTTTAAAATGCTCCTGACTGTATTTAAGCAGTGAGACATGTACAGTTCTTCCAGGGAGGGGAGAGGGCAGCCAATGATTTTCTGAGAGGTGATGATGACCCTCCCTGTTTCTGTGTAGCTGGCAAACCACACACAGCTACTGCAGGTCAGTATGCTTGTGGTTTATTAAGTTTGTAAAGACTTAAAACTGTTTGTTATACCAAGTTGTGATGAATTCTGCTGTAACGTCAGGCATTTTAGCATCAGTGGGAACTGACCTGTTTTTTGAAACCAGCCTTGAATGGGGAACTGCTGTTTTTAGTACTTCTGTGTTGACTTCTTTTTTGGCACAAGAGGGTGCTGCTTTATCAAAAGTTCAACTTATGTAGCCCTGTTCGAAAACAAAGACATTTACTATGAGCATTAGACTGCTTTAAGTCTTGTAAGTCTTTACATTAAAAGAACAATGTTTACAATAAGAAAAAAAAACATTACAGCCAAGGCCAACATCAGACTGGGCCAGATTTGATTTGTATCAGGTTCATAAAGTAAATGGTGTCACAAATAGGATTGGCTCAAACTCAACAGCAGAGCGGTAGTTAGCACCGTTGCCTCGCAGCAAGAAAGTCGCTGGTTCGCATCCCGGTGAGGACACTCGGGATCTTTCTGCGTGGCGTTTATATGTTCTCCCAATGCAGTGTGGGTTCTCTCCAGGTTCTCTGGCTTTCTCCCACACAGTCCAAAAGGTTAAGAGATTAATTGGTGATTGGTTAATTAGTAGGTGTGAAAGTGAGTGTGCTTGGTTGTCTGTCTCTAAGTGTAGCCCTGTGATAGACTGGCGAACTGTCCAGGGTGTCTCCTGCCTTCACCCTGAGTCAGCTGGGATAGACTCCAGCCCCCCCGCGACCCTAGTGAGGATTAGGCGGTGTATAGATAATGGATAGATTAAAAATGTAAATGCAAATGTTTTACTTAAGGTTTTAATATTTTACCCCATTTCAGTTTTCTATATCAAACACTCATCTCCTACTTGATGACTGGCTGGAAAAGGTTTTGATATCTGTTTGCTCGTACAGCTAAGGAACTGTGGTAAACTTGGATTTTGAACAACAGTAACAGATTCTAACAGAAATCATTGAGATTAAATCCACTGTGAATCTTTGGGATCAATGTGTTGTGATTTTTAAAAAAAAATATCAGTAAAGGTTCATATTCTTGTTTAGCTTGTTATCACTAACACCTATCTCCTTCTGCCTCATCGGTCAGGGAGACTTGTTGTCTCAAATCTGGCGTTTAGTTGTGGGAAGAGGTAACTCTCCGGGTTACACTGGAATTCAGAGCACTGGAAAGTTGACCGTTAGTGTGTCAGTATTACCAGTGTTAAGAAAAGTCTTCAGTGGAGTCCTAACTGCTCCAAATCAGCGCACAGAGTCGTCTCTCAAGTCAAAGCAATGTTTTACTTGCAGCAAGGAGCCAATATGAACAGTACAAAGTCTGAACAAGTGACTGACTGAAAGCATGACGCATTTGTTCTTACATACAGACAGTGAACAGAAAGCAGAAAACAGAAAACAGAAAACAACCTCCCGCAAATGGGTTCTCATGGTGTTTTGAATACCCGCTAAGAACATCTTGTCCTTATCTCACACTCACAAAGTACAATAGAGGTAATTTACAGCATTCTGATAGACTTTTCACAAAGATCACTGGATCATAACATAGAATTATTCTAACAACCAGTGACTGGATGACTAAAAACGCTGTGTGGCTGCACCTGATTGGGCTGTTTCTGGGGATCCTCTGGTTCGTGTGCTCTCACGTCCTACTCTTCCCATTATTTCTATGATTAGTGGATATGTTGGGCCATGGATGTCTTGTAGTGATGATTACTGGGATGTTTCTCCTGTGAGAAGCAGTGCTGGGGTGAGACTGCTTCAGGTGACTGTGGGTGGAGCTGGTGTGTGCTGCTGTTTGTAGTGGAGTGGGAGAAGAAGTGATCAGTGACCAGTGTTTCTTTGGATTTGAACCACGTCTTTGTCTTCTTTCAGCGAACAAACTTGTGTAACTTGTGTGACTATTGTGTTAGTTTACATTTAACTTGTATTTCCTGGGGTGAGAATCCCCAGGTGGTGTTGTCGGGGTTCTTTAGAGACTGGTACAGCTCACTAATTATTCTCTCCTATGTCCCACTCCCCCTTGGTCTAACCTCGCCACACAAAGAAAAGGCCCTTTGGACGAAAGGTTTGTGGCTAGATGTAATAAAAAATTGAATTTGTACTGGCAAATACGATTTCTGTAGCATGCAGTATTAGATTTACTTCAAAATTGCAATAGGATGACATAGATAGTGACAAAAAAAGTATCAAGTGCCATATCAAATGTGCATGTCTTATTATTGTTGTGATGAAATCTTTAGCTGACAACACCAAAGGTTTCCTTCAAGAGCTCCTCATGAGTTTTGTTTTTAACCCTACAGTCTAAGAGTGATTTGATTTGCATCCAGCTGCATTTACCATGTGAGGAAGTCATCTTCTTGGTGACTATAGTTTGATTAAAACAAATTGCACAGAACTGCATTGTGCTGTAAAGCCAGAATTGCTGCCACAAAGCTGACCTCTAAGTCAGTTTTCATCACTTCCTGAAACCATGTGCATGCAGTCTGCCATCCCCTGCAGACAAACCAAGCACTTATGCACTTGTAGGTAATGATGTTGGAAAGTTCACAACTTATTCAGAATGTTAAATGCCATAGATCTGCAAATCTCCAGAGTGGATTAAAAGTCAAGTAAAATCCCTTGTCACTTTTAAACATGGCCATCTTTCAATAGTGAAGTGGTTGAATTCTACTTGGAACTCTACAACTCTATTTGTATTTGATATCTGACGAAGTGAACAGTTGTCTTGAAATAATTTGTTTCTCTACAGTTCAGCTGGGTGTGCTGATGACACGTGCCCAGACAGAGATGAAGAGGGTTGTTGGAGACAATGCCACGTTGCCCTGCCACCATCAGTTTTGGGTTGGTGATGACCCTGCACTGGATATTGAGTGGCTGCTTCTCAAGCCAACCAACAGGCAGAGAGTGGTGAGTGTCTCTCAATACAAGAATTAAATTTTTTTTTGAGAATGGACAGTAACACAAGAGAGAGTCATCATCCACAGTGAAACCAGTCCTGTACCGATATGGGCTGAAAGGATACTTGGAGAGGAAGAAGACATTACTCCAAAAGCAACATAAAAGAGCCAGATTACAATTTGCAAATGCACACAGGGACAAAGACCTTCATTTGTGGAGACATGTCCTGTGGTCTGATGGAACTAAAATGGAACTGTTTGGTCATCAATTTTGTAGCTGTGTCATCAGACCTGGGGCCGTATGTCTCAGATATTCGGGTGAAGAGAGGAGCAGAGCTGTCAACTGATCACCACCTGGTGGTGAGTTGGATATGCTACTGGACAGACCTGGTAAAGCTAAAAATGTTGTGAGTTTAAACTGGGAATGTGTGATGAGGTGTGGTGGTTTTCAGCTCCCACCTCCAGGAGAGTTTCTCCTGCAGGTTGGGGATATAGAATCTGAGTAGGCCATGTTTAAAGCCTCCATTGCTGAAGCAGCTGTTTGGAGCTGCATAAGGTAACTGGTCCCTTTCACAGCGCCAACCTAAAAACAGTGAAGGAGGCTTTTCAGGACTGGTTGGCTCAGGTCTGCTGAAGCAGCAGACAGGTACCAATCGGCCAAAAGGGCTGCATTTGTGGAAGTTAAAATTTGGGTGTGTGAGGAGTTTAAGAGAGGCTATGGAGAAGAAGTTTTGGTTGGCCTCAAGGAAGTTGTGGCTCTCGACGCCTCAGGAAGAGGAGGCAGGGCTTGCCCCAGGCTGTGTACAGTCAGCGGGGAGAACTACTGACAGGGGACATTGTCGGGTGGTGGAAAGAGCACTTTGAGGATCTCCTTAACCAGGTTGACATGTTCTCTGCTGAGGAGGCAGAGCCTGAAGATTTGGGGGAATCTTCGCCCATATCTGTGATAGAAATTGACGAGGTGGTCAAGAAACTCCTCAGTGGCAACGTGCAGGGTGTGGATGAGATTCACTCCAAGATGCTGATGAGTCTGAACATTGTTGGACTGTGTTGGCTGACACGTCTCTTCAATGTCACGTCATCATAAGGGAGCAAATACTTTTTCACAGCACTGTAACAATCATCAAAAACACAATTTAAATATATGCATTTGTCTTATTGAGGTATTCTCTGGCTCTTTGTATGAGTATAATTGCTAGCTGTTATAGTGAAGGTTCACATGGTTGCATTTACTGTCTGTGTCCTACCTTGTTTACCCCATTGCAAACCCACCCACCTGTTTTACTTCTCCCATCAGGTGATTACCTACTTTGCTGGACGGGTGTTTGACCCCAATGAAGCAGGACGTGGGCGTGTAGCTTTCGCTGGAGATTTCTTAAAAGGTGATGCATCCCTGTGGATCACTGACTTAACCATGACAGACTCAGGAGAGTACAGCTGCAAAGTTAAGTATGGTGCACAATACCACTGGAGCACCATCAGCCTCATAGTGCTGGGTAAGTGGCAGACAGCATTTTGGTTTACTTAGAGAAAACACAGACAGGGAGAGGACTTGTGAGGATCCTGTAGAATTGGAAGTAGACAGTTTTCTACATGAGTCATCATCGACTTTTTAAGGCTTATGTCATTCCATTTGAGGCTCATAAACAAGTCATTTCCTGTTGCCAGCAGGTGGTGTCATAGCTGTGAATGGTTATTGGCATGTGGATGTGATCAGGGCAGGACACTGATCAAACATGGAAAGTTTGAGGCAGACTGCAGCATGTACAGGGTAGTTAGATAGTGCTTCCTCTTTAATGGCGAATGATCAAACTTCAGGCCCTTTGACCTTTGCGGAAGATTTTGATAACTTTTCATCATTAGAGCCATTTGTATGTATCGGCCAAATTGTAAGTCTCTTGGAGGTATCCCCTATAAGGAGTTCGCTCTTGAAAATGATGAAAAATAAGCAAAAATCTCACAAGCAAATCAGAATGGCAGACTTCCTGTTGGATTTAGGGTATGGCGCCTTTTTTGTGCGCCATGATGTGCTACATACGGCTACCAAATTGTGTAGATGTAGGTGAAACGTCCTGCCTGTAGTCGCTGTTGCAAGTTTTGTAGACACGCATTCACTAATGCTGTCCACTTGGGAGCATCAATCTTAGTTTGAAAAAGTGGGTGATGAAGTAACATCTAAGGATATATGTGTTTGTGTCTGATTGTGTATCCACAGTGAAGCCATCCAAGCCACGGTGCTGGATGGAAGGCAAACTGTTGGAGGGTGGTGATGTTAAAATGAGCTGCAAGTCTGCTGATGGTTCTGATCCCATTTACTACAAATGGGAAAGAGTACTGGACAAGGGCAAGTACGTTGGCAAGCTGCCTCCCCTGACCCTCATAGGTAAATATGCTTACACACTGAAGAATTTGTTTGCCTTTAAAGAGTGTGACTCACCGGACAAAGATTGTAGGTGTAAGCCTGCCATTTTCTCTTTGCATTCCACATGGCATTTTCCTCCACTTCTACTAAATGAATATCGCTGTTACCAAAGTCTGCAAGTAACCGTCATGGCATCTGGAGCTTCACACTGCCCAAGACTATTGGAGCTGGTGTAAAGAAATACAAATAAGGCAGAGTGTTATTTTCCCCCTGTAGCAGAATATGATGGGTGCAATCTGACCAATCTCCAGCGCTGACACAATGCTGGTGAGACCCTGTCGGTTTCTTTTTCTTTGATGACTTTGAGAAGAAAGGATACTAAGCAGTGTGTCACCACACTTTCCAATGGTGTTGTGATTTATTATTTTGGTATTTTCCTTTATCAGCTCTGTAAGCAAAATACTTTGTCATTCTGCTCAGGTGGACAAGAATTCAGTTCAAGAGATGTTGGACTGTGTGGTCATATTTCACCCTTTTGAATGTTATGCTTTTTTGCACTCACTCCGGCTGTCTGCTGTCATAAGCTAGACAGGGTTTCTGTCTGTTCCAATTCATCTATGTTCTTCTTCACTTCCTACATAAGAAAACTCAGTTTCACCAGACATAAAGAATTTGTCAGAAATATTTGATATTTTAAAAACACCAAACTTCTTCAAGTGGTTTGTAAATTTCTGTTAACACAACTGTACAAACATGTAATATTGTACAAACTTACTCTGTTGTAAACCATAATGTAAGACAAGAATACTCATTTGCACCCTGTTTTGTCTTTCTTGGTACTTCAGATTTGAAAAACCCTGAGATTGTGACACTGAGGAACTTAACTAAGGACAACACTGGAGTATATAAATGCACAGCCAGCAATGATGTGGGAGAAGACAGCTGCACGGTGGAGGTCAAGATGCACTGTGAGTGGATAATCCTTGCTAACAATGCATAGGCACAAAATCTGCAATTTGTCATTTATAGCATTGTAAATCTCACCCACAAATGATTTGCTCACACGCTGCCTACAGTCCTATCTGAAACCATTAATTAACCAAAGTAACAATGCATGTCTCGCTAAAAGCAATGTTTTAGAGGCAGAAATAATCAGTGCACTGGTGTTCTACCACTTTTAATTACCCTTTCAGGAACATTTTAGTGCTAACATTTATTTGATTTGATTTATTAAAAAAAGATTCAGTGGGTTGCTCTAGTAATTTACTACTAATAATAATAAGGTCAGATAGAAGGGATTATGCTAGATCAGATTTGATGCTGGCCAGGATGTCATTTGACCAAGGATAAGGCAGGGTGTTAGTTATCTTTGAAGCTAGCATGGCATCAGATGGAACATTACCAAACTCGAGAGAAGGAGAGCCACAGGTTGACTCAATACATTCTCAGCATCAGTTGACCCAGGGGCTGAGGAGATGTTGGCTGACTCAGGGGTGCTCTTTGTGACGGCCAAGTCAGACGAAGGGAAAGGCTGAATGTCAGGTGACTCAGACTCAGGAACGGGAGAGATGCCAGGCCACTCAAACAGGAACAGAGATGTCACAGTGATGTCACCAGGCAACTTAGACTCAGGAACATGGGAGACATCAACCAACTTAATTGCTGTCTTAGTGTAGAGTCGATGTCTACTCCTGAAGACTGGCTTATACTTAGATAGAAGCCTAGGCTTGTAGGCCACAGCCCTCTCCAAAAATGAAAGTGCCACCAGTCTGCGCTAAAAAATATCTGTCTGCTCGGTCCATTGTGGTCAGTTTGTACCGTTCTGTGTAATTCAGAAAGGAAGACACAAATGCAAACACAGAACAGCAACACATACAGCAGAGAGCTAGATGGAATTAATTAAAAGTAACTTTGTTCAGTTCTATAGGTTTCATCAAAGACAGATAGATGGACAAACAGGTTCCATAAAAACAAATTCCAAAACATCTAAAGACTAAAGTAAAGCACAAAGAACACACATGAACTTTTAGTGAAGGTGAACCAGGAGGTGGAGCGTATTGGAATGGATTGCCAGGGATGTAAAAATGGTGCCATACCTTATTACAATACTTCTTTCATGTGTTACTTCAAGTGGGCTGAAATAGTCCACAAGAGATTGAGTTTATGATGTCCGTATTGGTCTTGGATGAAGACTTAGTAGCATTCAACTGGTTCCTCAGGCTCTCCAGAGTACTCTTAATCTTAAGCATCCGAGTGACTGCCTTATTAAGGCAAATCCAGGACAAGAACTATTGCATGAACTCCAGTATTAAATCACCTGCTGTTTTAGCTACTTTCACCACAGTTTACTTTGCCTCTGGGTCCTCTTGGGCGAGGTCGCCCAGATGAGCCACATTCTTGGGCCACTCTTCTAGAGGCTTACGGAGAAATTCTGGCCTCTGTAACTAAGTGTAGCTTTGGATGAGTTTCTCTGTATTGTCCCCTTGACATGTCTGCAGGGTTCAGTGAGTTATTGCCATGTCTCCATTTGGTTCACAAAAACAGTGCGGAACTTGTTTGTTCTGTCTCTTTTAAACTTCCACCCAGTTGTGCTGTCTGACCAGAACACCGACTCCTAACTTGCAGCTGCAGTTCCAATCTCAAAATCTGTGAACAGCCATTGTGGCTGCAGTGAGTTCCATGTGAAGAGTAATCCTTAGCTTTGGCAGAAACACTCGCATGGACAAATGCACAGTAGACTTTGTTGGTACTGTTCTCTATCATTCTGCGTTAGGGGAAAAAAAACAAACAAACAAAAAACTTAGCAAAGCTTCCTTACTGTACAATCCAAATCTTCTGCCCAGAAGTTGTGGGTGGCAGACTTAAACCCACAGTCTGCGTGTGGTAAATCAGTCTCATAACTGTCTTCATTAGTGTCGGCAAATGATGCAGCTGGCGTAGTACTGCTTGACTAAAGCCAGCAGGTTTGAAACACCAAGGGACACTAATGTCCATTAGCTGATGAAGCTCTGACCTTCACACAGACTACTCACAAGCAAACTTATCAGGTCTCAGAACACCGCAGTCTAGCTGCAATCTGCAAAACTCTTGCACACTTTTCTTTGCTGGTATGACTACTGGTGCCAAGATACCCAGTGGATTATAAACAGAGGTCACAATGGATAGGTTGTTTCTCCTGGTTTGAACTTTGTCCAGAATGATAATGTTCAACCTGAAGCTGTCAGACTGGGTAATCAAGTAAATTCCCAAAGCTCTCTATGAGAAGCACATCTTAATCCAAGTCAGCGTCTCTAACCTCTGTGGCCCTCTCCCTTCACAGGATAGCTGACAGCATGGCCCTGCTGTTGCTATCCATTTGATGAGTCTGAAACTGCTTTTCCCACTTACAAGATTCAAGAGTTTTTATTTGTCACATGCTCACACAGCAGCAGTAAAATGCAAATTGAAATAAGCTAGAAAACTTGTTTGCAATGAACCTTCCTATGTCTAGAGGTTTGCTGCAATGATATGTTAGTCTACCTGAAAAAAATGGCATTGCAGAAGTGAAATAATAGCAAAAAAAAAAAAAAGGAAACGTACACATACAGCCTTCACAGGATTAACTGGTGATTCTAAATTGTCCATGAGTGTGCTTGGTTTCTGCCTCTAAGTGTAGCCTTGTGATAGACTGGTGACCTGTCCAGAGTGTCCCCTACCTTCATCCTACATCAGCTGGGATAAGCTCCAGCCCCCCGCGACCCTAGTGAGGATTAGGTGGTGTATAGATAATGGATGGATGGACACCTAATGTAATACCAAGCTCCAAGACCTGTAAAGACAGAATGTTAGTCTGCAAATAAAAGTATTTCATGCATAATTTATTGGATGTGAGGTACAACTTGTGAAAATGTGCAGAAAACCATTACTAACTATAATAATAAATGTTTTATTTCCCAATTCTAAAATAAGGCAACTTTTAACTTCAGTGTCCACATGCTCTTTCTTAAACAACTGCTTGTGTATGTGTGCTTTGTCATCTTCGTGGTTTGTAGACGTCAGGGGAATGGGCATGGTAGCAGGGGCAGTAGTTGGTGTGTCCTTTGGCGTCCTCCTTATCATCCTCATCGTCTGGTCGGCGTTCCGCAAAAAGGAGATGAAGAAATATGAAGAAGAAGAGACCCCAAATGAAATCAGGTAGACAGTAGAGACAAACTTTGTCTCCCAGTCATGACCATTCATAACTAATAATAATCACAACATGAACTGTTATACTCACACTGTAAAGAAAAGGCATAATCAAAATGTGTTCATTTATATGGTACCATAATCAGAAAATTATTGTCTATGACTGCCTATTCACTTTGCACTAATATCATCAAGGTATAGTTGAGGATGTGAGCAGTATCATTCTTTGTCTGATCTCAACAATTCTCTAATGGGAAGCTACATACATCCATTCCATCTGTTTTCTTCCACTTATCTGCGGTCGGGTTGCTGAGGCTACAGGTGAAGCAGTTCATTCCAGATGTCCCTCTTCCCAGCCATGCTTTCCAGGTTCTCCTAGGGGATCCCAAGGCATTCCCAGGCCAGATGTACCCAGCTGTACACAGCCTGGGACAAGCCCTGCCTTCCATTCCTAAGGAGTCAAATCGGTTGCTAGAGCCTCCTCAAGGCCAGCTAAAAGCCCTTCTCCATAGCCTCTCTGAACTCTTCCCTCAACACAGTTTTTGCTCACAGAACTGCCACAGCTGCAGCACTTTTGGCTCCCTGGTAACTGTCTGTTGCTTCAAGAGACCCCCGAGGCACCAAGCCATGAAGGCATTTTTCTTTAGCCTGACCTGATGGCCTCCTTTACTGCAATCCACCAGTGGGTTTTCAGGTTGCCACCACAACAGGCACCTTTGACCCTCTGACCGCTGCTCTTAACAGCTGCTTTGGCAATGTAAGCTTTGAATATAGCTCACTCAGATTCTCTGTCCCCAATCTTACCTGGGATGCAGGAGACATAAAAATGTTAACCTGCGCGAGTAAAATTACGATTAAAATGCAATAGTCTGATGGTCAAAAGGCTCAATTTTGGTCACATCAGACTGAAGAATGTTCTTCCAGTTGACTTCAGAGTCTCTTACATGCCTTCTGGCAAATTCTGGTTGAGATTTAATATGAGCTTCTTCTTTTTTTTTTTTTTTAAACAGTGGCTATCTCTTGCCACTTTCCAGGAAAGCTTTGACCAATGAAGAACCACAGCAACAGTTCTTGGATGTACAGCTTCTGTCATTTCAGCTGCATAAGCTTGCAACTCCTTACGAGGATTCATAGATGTCTTGGTGGCCTGCTAATTACTAATTTAAGTGAAGTATGCAGCCTCTGAATTGGGACATGGTAAATGGCTTTCAACTGAGGGTTTCCACACCACCTAATTATAGCCATGGGCCATTGGTCACCAAACTTATATCTGCTATATTCCCTCCTGAGGGGGCAAATACTTTTTTTTTATAGGCATTGTACTTTTGTGTCCAACTATGTAATGACAACATTGCTTACTGAATATAACTTAAGACTAACTTCTTCTAAGCCCAAACTTGGCTGTATGTTGTGTAATTTATCAAGTAGTTTGTCTTCATCTGCTAGTACGTTCATTTCAAGGCACTCTTAAATAATGCAACCATCTACTGATTTCAGGGAGGATGCAGAGGCTCCAAAAGCCAGCCTGGTGAAGCCCAACTCACTCTCCTCATCCCGTTCGGGAAGCTCTCGCTCAGGCACCTCCTCCACCCAGTCCATGATGCACAACATGGGGCCCAGAGGCCAGCGAGCCTGTGTTCCTGCTGTGGCAGCCCTCAAAGAAAGCTGCCAAGCCTCCACCTTCCCCCAGTCTCCACCTGCCTACATTCGGACAGTTCCCAAGATTCCAGAACCCTGTTCTAAACCCAGCACCACATCTACCTCCAACTCCAAGCCCAGCCCACCACCTAAGCTGAGTCCTGGGAACCTGACCCGCATGGGCGCCACTCCCGTTATGATCCCTGCTCAAACCAAGGCCTTCCAGACTGTGTAAAAGAGATGGATAGAAAACTGTATTCACAGAGGAACTGACCAAGGCAGCCTCAGGAAACGAAAACCAGCTGAACCCAAGCGTTTGACTCTGATAAGCATTAATTCATGTCATTTAAATAGATTCTCACCATTCACAGTCTGATGGACACTTTCAGCAGTTTAACTCCTTTAACACCTTGCTACACACAGTACACCACTTTACACATGTTGCAAATTAAAATACCTGCACCGATGACTAAACTAATGAAAGTAGTTTAACTCTAGGATTGTACAGTATATAAATAGGATAAATGGCTCTGATTGTATAAACCGACCTTATGTAAATACTTCATATATCCTCAAGTACCTGCTGCACACACTCTAATCCTTTTGTCACAGATTCCTCTGTGCCAAGGATATACATGATACATGAGCCCATGTGTAGATGTGCACAATGCCCCATTTTCAGTAACTAAAGCGTAAACTCGTACAGCACATTTCATGTTCACACTGTTCATTCCTGAAATGTCAAGGTTCCATAAGATTTAACAGAAGTGTGTGAGACTTTTTCAGAAGCTCCTCTTGCAGTATGTAGTTCAGCGGCATGTTTAACGCAATAGCGCAAACTGAAAACATTTAAATGATTAAATTAAATCCTAATGCAATTGGGATGAATGCAAAATCCTTAAAGGACTGTGGTTCTGTGATGCTGTGGATGAAGAGGAAAAACCTACTGGTGAAAGGTCATGTGTGTTTTGGTACAATAATGTTTTTTTTAGAGACAGGTATTACAACAGGTACATTTTTTATTCACTATAATACAATAACATACACAATATGGGGTGGTTTCTTTCATTACCTTGTCTTCATATGATGACATTTATTAATGACAATGCAACAGACTGTGTTATTGCCTTTCAAGCCGATAACACACCACTATCCAATGTTCATAATCGATCCTCGAGATGTGCTATTGTGCTGTACAACTTAGGCTCTTTATTTGGCCATAGAATTACTGTTAGTAATCATTAATTGGATGTGATATATTAGGGTGTACATTCATTTTGCAGCCAGTGTTGAGTTTGAGAAATTACATGGGTGTGGAGAGGCTATTAAGTTTGATAAATGAGTGAGGATATTGCCCCGTACTTTGTAAGCAGACTACTGATGTCTTGCAGTATTCTGCGTGAGCCACTCTGTACTTATAGACAAACACAGCCGAACTATAACTGAACTGTCCATCTTGTAGCTGTTGTTATTAAAACTGGATTAAGGGAGGGTTCCTGATAAATATAAATTAAACTTGCAAATGAAACAAATGAAATAAATTCTGCTTTTTGTCAGAAAATGCTTTAATAACATCTTTTATTAAACTGACTTTTAAAACTACCTTTTTTAAGATTTTTTTTTAAAGCTGTGTTTTGCATTTTCTGATTTTCATTTGAGGAGAGGAAACTAGGATGAATGCACACAGTTTTGTGGGGTTTTTTGTATTTTTTTTTTTCTTGCGGCACGGATCAAATTGGATTTTGATATTTTGTGTGTCCTTGTTTTTTTGTGTGACCAGGGAATTACTAACTTCTTTATGTGTTGCATTTGATATGCTTTCAGCAAAAACACAACACTGGGGGTGGCACTGTCTGATTTAAATTTCAAAATATTCAATTCAATTCAATGCGTTGTCATTGTCATAATAACACAGTTATAAATACCAATGAGATAGCATCTCAGCATCTTAGTAAAAGATTAAAACGTACCTCCCAGATATCAAAAATAGGTCAAAGATGTGCACTGTGTACTATTTAGCACAGCAAGACAACAAAGAACACACATAAAAAAGTAGGGTAGAGGGGTTGGGGCAGTAAACTGAGATGAGTGGGGTGTTGTGTGAAAGCAATGCAAGATCTAGTTCACATTTACTGCAGTGGTGTGGTGTGTGATGATGGATAGGGGGCTGTTCATTCAGTAGCGCCTCTGCCTGAGTATACAGGCTCTGGGCCAGACTGATGGTTCTGGCACGGATGGACCGGTGTCTCCTCCCAGAGGGCAGCAGGTGGAACAGATGATGTGCAGGGTATTGCTGATCACGCAAGATGTTGTGCACATGATGCAGACAGCAGGCAGATGGTGCTGATCTCCAGAAGACTAGTCCTGATGATTTTCCCTGCTGGTTTCTTCACTGAAGGCCTGCTGCTCAGCCTTAGTGCAGTTGGAGAACCACATGAAGAAACCGTAGATCAGTGTGCTACCAGTAGCACAGTGGTTTGAGTTGATCAGCACTCTTCAGTTTCCTCAGATAGCAGAGACGTTGTTGGGCCTTTCCAGCAGCTGAGGCGGTGTTAATACCCAAGGACAGGTCCTCCTAGTCATATGTCACATCCAGGAACTTAAATTTTGTGACTCACTCCACCACCTCACTCCCAATGGAGAGCAGAGTAGGGATGGACTGTCTTGTTTTGCAGAACCCACAATAATTTGCTTGGTATTTTTTAATGTTGATGGCCAAGCTGTGGTTTTCACACCATGATGCCAGAAGTTGTACTTCACCTCTGTAAGCTGACTCGTCATTGTTGTTTATGAGCCCGAGCATTGTCGTGTCATCAGCAAATTTTACAATGAGTTTAGTTAGGTGGCAAGGTGGCTCAGTGGTTGAAGGTCACTGGTTCACATCCTGGTGAGGACACCCGGGATCTTTCTGGGTGGAGTTTGCATGTTCTCTCTGTGCAGCGTTGGTTCTCTCCGGGTTCTCCGGCTTCCTCCCACACAGTCCAAAAACATGTTGAGGTTAATTGGTGATTCTAAATTGTCCGTAGGTGTGAATGTGAGTGTGCTTGGTTGTCTGTCTCTAAGTGTAGCCCTGTGATAGACTGGCGACCTGTCCAGGGTGTCCCCTGCCTTTGCAGGGATAGGCTCCAGCCCCCCATGACCCTAGTGAGGATTAAATGGTGTATAGATGATGGATGGATGTAATCAAATATAAAACAGGGCTCAAGTTGCTGCCCATAGTCTAAGTCAATGTATTCATGGCAACATCATGTTATACTTCCTGCTAAAAGTTTTGTGTCCTATGGTTCTCACCAGCGAAGACGTTTAATGTGACATTTTTCCAAAAGTCTTTGCTGAAGACATTCACAAATCATAATCTTCAAGCTTTTGATTCAGTTGAAACAGGTGCTTCATAATCCCATCACATTTGTTGCCTGTTAAATGCAACACACAAAGGAACAAATCAAGAATCTTGCTCGACTCCACCTACATACTGCACACTGCAGTCAGGGGACACTTGTGGATTTTTTGGTGAAATTTTATATACATGATCATAGAGCACATGGAGCATACTTTGAACATTGTTTTAGGGGCAAACCCAGTCTCTTTTGAGAAAGTGCTATATTGCGATGGTCTACATTTAATTTGTTTCTTTTTCCTGTTTTGTGAATAGTATGCATTTTCTAATTTCGATGAAATCTCACAATTTTCACCATGAGTGATTGTCAATGTCTTAAAACTCGCATCACCGCATTTGAGGTTAATACGGTCAACCGTCTAGTAATGGCACATTATAGTGTAAAACTATTCTTTCCTGTTGGCAGCAGGTGGCGCTATGACTTATTATTTTATTTATTTGGCTTCATATTTCTACTTTTATTAGCCTTTTCTTTTGTGGAATCATTTTTGGATTAACATCGCTTTATATGACCATACTATTTACTTTTTAAAATTTTATTTCTTCTTCTTTTTATTTCCACTTTTATTTTATTATTGTTTCATAGATTTATTTTTGTAATTTGGCACTCTCACTACTCCACAGCTTTTAAAGCGACATTATATAATAATAAATAAATGAAAAAAGTAATTAAAAAAAAAACTAAAAAAAAAACTAAATAAATAAAAAATATGAAAAATAAATTATTATTATTTGTATTATTTTATTTATTTGTCTTCATATTTCTACTTTTATTAACCTTTTCTTTTATGGATTCATTGTTGGATTAATATTGCTTTATATTGCCAAATGAAAAAAGTAATTTAAAAAACTTAAAAATATTTAAAATTAAAAAATAAAAATAATAAAACAAACAAATATATATAAATAAATAAAAAACATATGAAAAATAAATGATTGTTATTATTGTATTTATTTGTCATCATATTTCTACTTTTATTAACCTTTCCTTTTATGGATTCATTGTTGGATTAATATTGCTTTTTATCGCCACATTATTTATTTTTTAAATTTCATTTATTCTTCTTTATATTTTCGCTTTTATTTTATTATTGTTTTACAGATTTATTTTTGTAATTTGGCACTCTTACTACTCCATAAACTATGCCCAAATTACAAATAATCTACAGTATGTATCCTAGGCCTGCCTCCAGATGTGTCCACGTGACTCCAATAAGACGACCAGTGATAAAGATGTTTACTGATTATTTTTATGCTATTTCGATTCCAGTATTTATTTAAGCTATATGGAGCTACAACAGCTTCAGTCGGTTTCGGATATCCGGCAGAGCCAACAAACGGTCGCATGTCTTCACAAGCTTCACCAACAGCTGTCACAGTGAGACTCCACAGCAGAGGAGGGGAATGGGTCCGTGTGCGCCAGCGGTGGGTCGAGAAGCACAAGCTTGCTGCCGATATAGTTTCACTGTAGGTATCCAGAGAGTACGAGGACTAAAGGAAACCCTCACCGGATTTATGTAGCATCCCTTTGTTGGGAACCAGCGAAGAATAAAACGGGGAATTAAGGATGTCTTTCCAGGAGCTGTCAGACTCTTTCGGAGGAATGTTCCCAGCGTTCTCTCTGCCCATGAAAGTAGAGCGCAGTCGGAATAAAGAGCGACTGGAGGCGAGCCTGGCCGGTCTGTGCGAGTTGGAGCTTCTCAAACAGAGGCAGGAAAGCAGGGTGCTAAGTGCTCTTTGTCTCGGGGACTCTCCGGTAAGTGGTCGCCAGCCTTGGGGAGCTCTACGCTCGGTACGCTGCGCCATGGACGAACCAAACGGCGGCGCGTCAGATGGCGACGGGCTCCAAACTGTAAGTTCTGTTTGTCTGATGTCTCTTTGTGCCAGATGACTTTTTGATCTGCATCCAAAACACTACATTTATAGATATTTCTCTGAGCTACTTAACTCAACACCAAACTATGTGGAACAAAAAGAAAAAAAAAGTGCAACAAAAGTGTTTTTATCCAACATTTGATGGACCAGCTGTGAGCAGCACTCTGCCTGCATTTACTTATGATCGCCCAATGTGGAGAGTTTACTGGTTCTAAGTGGGAGCATTTATGTAAAATTTTGATACTATAGAAACTTTTCAGCTGTTTCAGAAAGGAGTTAACTTGTGTGAAAGACAAGCAGCAGCCATTTTCCAGAGTACCAGCAGTGGGATGTAGTGAATACAAAGATGAATGGAATAAACAGACTCCTCCTCGCTCTCTGTGACAGTGAGCAGAACCCGGCCACATAGAGAGAGTCTGGTTGACTTCTGATTAAAACATATATTTGAAATAGTACAAGTGCAACATATGATGCTTTTTTTTTTACCTAGATCTGGACATGTCCCATCTCTGTGAGACAATAGTTACAAAACAGAAACTGCTGAAATAAAGAAAAATCACTGGAATGAAAACAAGGAGCACGACTGAACTGTAAAGCTCAACACAGGATTACCTCCCACACTCCCATAATAGGGCCTGTGTAGGTTAAAGGGGGCTCATGGTTGTCACTGCAAAATCTATCAAAGTATAGCTATTTGGCTGCCCCCTTTTTCCGACGGGGCCCCTGGCAATTGCCCGGTTTGCCTGTACTGACTGTGCGCCTCTGTCAGAGCCCTATCACACTTGAACTTGTTCTATGGCACTCATCCAGGTTTCTCCTGACTAGATCCTTGCTTGCGTTGGATCTGCTCTCAGATGTACATCACTTTGGATAAAAGCGTCTGCATGATGAAATAGTAGAATCCAAGATAACGGTTGATGTACAGGTACATTTCAAATAATTAGAATATTGTCGTTGTTGTTCTAATTTAATTCCGAAAGCTTTCCTTTCATTTATTCTATATTCATTACGTGTGAAATATTTCATGCCTTTTGACTTTGAATTTTGATGATTTGGTTTATAACTGGGGCTGTATGGTGGTTAACACCATCCCCATGTCCACACACACCGGGACATGAACCGGGGATCATGTCGTCCAATGACGACCAGGATCTTTCTGCGTGGAGTTTGCATGTTCTCCCCGTGCAGCGTGGGTTCTCTCCGGGTTCTCCGGCTTCCTCCCACAAGGTCCAAAAACATGTTGAGGTTACCTGGTGATTCTAAATTGTCCGTAGGTGTGAATGTGAGTGTGCTTGGTTGTCTGTCTCTAAGCGTAGCCCTGTGATAGACTGGTGACTTGTCCAGAGTGTCTCCTGCCTTTGCCCTGAGTCAGCTGGGATAGACTCCACAGATGAGCTGAAAGCTGCTATCAAAGCAATCTGGGCTTCAATAACGCCTCAGCAGTGCCACAGGCTAATTGCCTCCATGCCACACTGTATTGATGCAGTTATTCATAGTAAAGGTATCTAGTGTACAAATGAACATATTTTTTTCAGAAGTATGACATTTCTGTACTGTAAATTGTTTTTTGGAATTGATCTTAGGAAATCAGTTTGTTAATGTGAGAAAGTGGATTGCTGATTTTCACAAGTTAAAACAGAAGTCATTAAAATGTAAACAAAAAGGGCTGGAAATCTTTCACTTTACATGTAATGAATTTATTCTATCTATATAATATTATATATATATAAGCATCACAGGCATGGAAGAAACAACGTACAAGTGTGACAGTTCCGCCTTTCTACATTGTCAAGTATTTCAGATCAAACACTCACACCCTTGTTTTCCTCACTGACTTTACATCTCAAACTAAACTGCAGAATGCGTGAAGTTAGATCACCAGAAAAGGGAGATAGCTGATCTGTCCCTGACATTGGTTGATTTGTTGCAGACCTACAAATCCCTAAATGCATACAAATCTATCAGATTCAGCTCATATCATGCTTGTGGTTTTGGGTATTATTTGATTATAGGGTCTGTGGACAAAACAAAGCAGCTCATCAGTCTGCGGGTGCAAGCAGCGCGTCTGACCGTTGCCATGGTGACGTTTCCGGTGAGGCGGCGAGGGCGTCCCATTGTTTGGCTTCTTTTTTATACCCTCCACCTTAATCAGGAGTGCCCTTCACAGCTGCAAGTGTAACTCGATTAGGAGTGACACTTGGTAGTGGAGAGGAAGTGTGTAGGGGGTGGTTTGGGATTGGGCCTCGCTGTGGAGGATTGAGAATAGAACCAGTTTGAAAATAATTATAATTTAATGAATGTTTTCATTGCAACATATTACATGGACATTTTAAAGTATGTAAAAAAAAGGAGTGAACCACAAAATCAGCCATAAATCATCGATGTATTGTTTGTTTAAAGATAAAGATTTAGAGTAAAAGCACTCTAACTTTTAGATGTATGACTTTAACTTGACCCTTGTAGCCTGTCTTAACTTTTTTCTCATACAGTCATTGGTTTCATTCCCATGCAGTTCTCTGTTCAAGTCAGGTCAACGAGATCAAAACTTTCAAGAAAGACTTGTGAATGAAGAAAACATTCACAGCTGGAAACGGCACCTTAAATTAAGCTGTTGGACCTCAAAAGGGATTGAAATACTTTAGCTTGCTTATTGTTTGCAGTTTATTTGATTTAAAACACGCAACTGAATTGAGTTGTGCTACAAATTCATACCATCCTCCTTCGATGAGCTCACTTTCGATGGTGTCATGTGGAAATGCTCCATCAGATTTAAAATCTATTGCACAGTGACTATAGAACTAGTATATACATATATATGTATGTATATATTGCAATTTAAATTGCAATATCTGACAGATAGATTGCAATTAGATGGTTTTCCCAAATTGCTGAACCCTAATGTCGTAGGGAGGGGACAAAGAAAAGCTTTCTGTGTGTGATGCAAGAGTAACAGAATCAGGCAAAGAGTACATGTTTGTGTGTATGAGTATGTGGGAGTATGTGTGTGTTTGTTCAGCAGGAGCTGCTGACAGCCATGTGATAGCTGACAGCAGCTGAGGAAGCAGCAAAACATTTAAAGTGGCCTCCACTATGTCTAATGGACTAATGAGAGGGTAGCAAGAAATGTCTCATAGCTTGTGTGTGAGTGTGTGTTTGCTCTTCATAGTCTGATAATAACCATGATAATATGTTCAGAACACTGAGCGATGATGACGTTTTAAAAGTAAGCGCTGATGTGACTGATGTGAATTACAGCATCAGGTAATAATGGGAATTTTGAAGGGAGTTAAAATGAGAGACATGTCAGAGATTAATGAAGTCAAATGATATTCGATTCAAAATTTGTGAAACAGGACGAGAAGTGGAGAGGTGCTTCATTAAACAGCAGAGCGGCTGATTAAACATGATGAAGAAAGTGAGCAGAAACAATCTGGTTTAAGTTGAATGGCCCTTGAGCGAGGCACCAATCCACCAACTGCAAAGAGGCCAACATTTAAACGCTGTGTATTTGTGATCTGAGTGCATGTATACATTTGGTGTAGTGATGTATGTTTTCCTGTGTGTGTAATTTTGCTGCCTTTTAACATACTATAAGTCTACAGTGGAGACTTTGGCAGCCAGCTTGTCACAGAAGCAAAACACAAACATTCACAACTGCAGTGGATGTGTGGTGCTTACATTTCACACGTCACAGTGTTGCTCAAACACAGTAGCATGACTGCATTATCTAAGGGGGATAGAATCAGGGTTGGGCTTAGGGGGCAAGTGGTAGGGGTCGGTGTATGGCTACATGTGTGAGGTCTCCAAAACAAAACTTGGTTACTCGAAGTAACAGCTGTGTAGCCTCTGGATTGTCAAGGGAAAATATAGACACATCACTACAAGGACAGAGCTGCCACAGAACTTGTCGTATGTGCCACGGTTACCACCACGGAGACATGTAGTTAGCTTTTCTTACTGCTTAGGTAAAGATTTTCAGGTAAATGTTGGCCTGAACAACATGAGCCACATAAATTCTGTTGTTCTGTTTAGGTGAAGGTGGTCAGGAACACAGAGTGTTTTTAAGACTGTGAACTCTGTCATGGAAGGTTAAGCATTGGTCCCCATCAGCTGTAGCTTCCAACAAGGAGTTTTAGTTACCGTTTAGCTCTTGAAATGAAAGGGGAAACTGCAAGTTGAAGAAAGGGAAAGTTAAAGAAGGATTACACTAGCAGTTTCTATGTTTGTGAAGAGGGACAAGTAAAAGCACTGATGACCACATTCAACAATCAACATGGTCTCAGACGAACACGCCTCAGGAAACCTGCATGGGGGAGAATAAGAGAGGGCAAAGGCAATCCATTATGAAGAGATATGATAGGCTGTTGTGATCCACTTGAGGTCCGTTCATGCAACCGAACATGTTTTCAATATGTGCTTCTATGGCGGTTTGCATTTTGTGCCTTTAATGAAACCTTTTGGTTGTACACCTATGGGAGCTGCTACACTACAGCCGCCTGGCAGCATCTACTGCAGCAAGCATGCAAGTCGTTTACAGGACAGCAGGTAAATGTAGTATTTAGCAATAAGCAGATGTTCAGTCTGTGCCCAGTTCATAAGTGATACCAGAAGAGGACTTGTGACAAAAAATACATCCCTAACCCTATATTTTCAGATTACAACATTTTACAAATATCAAGTCTTGTATCACTGAAAGTCAATGGAACATAACCAGGTTTAGCAAAAATAGTTATTCATCAGCATGCATGGTAGATTAATACCTGTTGCAATGCTGAAACAAAACAAGAAGGTGGGGGTGAGGCAACCAACCAATAAGTTGGTAGCACTCGTGCTACCAGTGGAAAAGTTAATCTGGAGCCCTGCAGAGAGATAGGGAGTTGCAGGTAGTTCCGCGGTCCAAGTGGATTATATTTACAGCAGTGGATTCCAGCTTGTCAGCCACTCCAGCCTTCTGCCTTCATACGGTTTGGCTCCACCTACTCGTGACAAAATTCAATTATCTAATTCAAATCATTAAGACATGGGCTTCCCCATGACAGTGTTCTTTTCTGTCACTATTGCTGTGGCGTGAACTCTTTTTGTTATTTTAGGCTTGATTGAGATGAACTGCACCTCACCTAGAAACAGACAAGGGAAGGCAGCAGCAGCAGGGGGGCAGGGCCGAAAAACTGAAGTAAGAGTGGACAGTTTTCAGCACCCATCGGCCTTTAGTGCGTTATAAAATTACTCACAGCCTGTTAGATCTCATTTCCATTCAATCAGTTTGCTGCTGTGTAGAAATCAGCTAGTAACAACTACATAGTACATAATACTGAGTACAGTAGAGCATACATATACACACTGTACTGTTACACAACATAAATAGAGACTGTATGTATGTATGTGTTCAAAGCAGACTACAAGGCCATGTGTGTGCCAGGGCGTCCCAGCCCAAAGGTGAGTCATCATTCCATGAGGGCACGAAGCTTCGACAATGTCTCTGAGGACAGAGTCACTACTCCCCTTTGAGTTCAGTCTGTCTTGACATGACTTCTGCTGCCATGTTCAGAGTTTTCAGCACATTTGTGAATCTGAGCAGGCAGAAGAGGGGGTGAACCCTCTGCTACAGTGTGGTTGCCAGCCTGCCTATTGACAGGCGCTGCAGTCTCTGTGCTGTCTTTTCTGGCAATGATATGATCACCTTACAGCTTTGGCAAGGACTGCCAGAGGACAAGGATCTCTATGCTGCAGGATGTTACACACTGGGTTACCTCACAGCACATCCAGAGCTCGTTGACCCCACAGACAGTATAAACCATGCTTTCGCCCACTGTGGAGGCATCTGTGAAGACCAGCTAGCAGTGGACCACAGGCTGAACCATTCCACCAGCAGAGGAATAGGAAATCCCGCAAGAATCACCACCATGGTCCAGAGAGACCCCCATAGACAAAGCGCTTAATTCAGCAGACATTGTTGGAAAGGCTGCGTGTACAGGAGCTGGAGAAAGCTGCTCTGCATCATGGCTGCCATTAGGCCCTTAAGCAAAGACAGAGACCCTAGGAGGCTAAGGATGTAGCCAGAAGAGACTAAGGCTGTGGGCTCTGCAATGGGGCTGGGCCAGGTGCCTTGCTAAGGCCCCGGACACTCCCCTTTTCTGTCTTTAGTGGCTTGCATTGCTTTTCCTGTTTGTGCTCTGCAAAGTGCAGAGAAACAGGGGAACTTGCACTCTTTACCCTAAAAACTGGGCTTCTCTGGTGCGTGCAGACATTGTAAAACAGTCCATGCAAGACTGTGGACTCTCTCTGGATAATAGTGTACGTTGGTGACCCAAACACACCTTTCATGGTCATCTTTCAAGTAAGCATCCTACTTACTGGTAAGTAGCCATAGTTGAAAAACCGCAGTGCCACACATTCACACCGTTTCAGGGGAAGGGGACTGACAAGGACACCAAGGTGTACACTTGTTTACAACCAGCTATGTGGGAATTCAGTTAGCTTCGTGCTGAGTTAACTTTGTGGAATGAGTGGTCTAAGCCAAGGAGGCACAAGGCAAAATTTGTCTGCTTGGCTCGTTAAAGGGAGAGAGAGTGAGAAAGGAGGCTCACCGTGTCAATGTTTTAGCTGTAATTTGAAGGCCAGTATATGAAAAGACCTCCTATTGCAATCTGTGCTGCACCTCTCAGTCTACGTCTGCTCTGATGTGACATCAGTGTAGCATGCGGGGGATGAAATCATTTCAGAGAGTAAAGGATGACTACAAGAAAGTGAAATGCAAAGTCAAGATTTTCCCCAGAAAAAGTGATTGTCTGGCTCACTGGCCAGGTCTTGGAACATACTCAGGTCCATTCAAAAAAATAGGCATGCAGAGAGAACAGGTAAAGAGACACGCAGGGCTGATTAAAACTAGAGATTTTTTAGCCCCTTTCACACATGCGCCTATTTTGTTAATTTGATGGCAGTGTGTCACCTTCAGGTCTGAATGCATATCATGTGTCTATTGAAGACCTACTTGGTTGGACCTCGTAACATTTCCAAATCACTTTCAACACGTACAAGTCGAAATGGAACTATTGCATTGTTGTCTGCTGTTCTGACTGTTAACCTGTCTGAAGTGAAGAAGTTTTTATCGCTGCAGTTAGATCCTAATTGGGCCTTGAATTGGATAATTTATAGTTGAACCTAATTAATGAAGTTACTGCTGTTGCTCCTTGTGTAAATGTGTGTCGCTTTCTCTCTCTTTGGAGACACTCGTGAATCCTACCACTGTCTGATGCTGTCAGGACCACTGCCCCTGCCCCTGCCCCTGCTCCTGCCCCTGCCTCTGCCTAGTTGGCAGACCTGTTCTCTTTCTACCTCTCTCTCCCTCTTCCTCTGTCTCTCTCTGATTGCAGGAGTGGAGACTGCTATGTGGGAGGTTGTCGCCTGCACTCAATCATTCACCCTCTGCTATCTAAGCCGGTTCAGACTTCCACTCATTGCCAGAATGTAGACTCTGCTATACAGTCACTGCCCAGCCTTCTGCCTCATCTCCCTCCTGCCACGGTGGATAAGACTTGCAGACCCACTACAGCCAACAAGCTCATCTGGTCTCAGCACATGCACCCTCTTGGATCAAACTGGACCTTGGATTCCTCTGCTTGCTCCTGTCAGTGCCAACCTCTGCCCAGCCACAGCCTACTCCGTGCTGCTCAGCTCTGCTAACACCTGCTCTTCCCTGCCCAGCCTGGTTCTTGAGTCCAGCCTCAGACTGTTAGTTGGACTCTGATTGCCCTGATGAGTCTCCAAACCCTGGCAGCCAAGTGTCGTAGCCTTACCTGTCAGCTGTCAGGCTATTATTGTTTTTACAATCCTTACTGTAGGCTACAGTTGTGCTTTTGGGGCCCTCAGTTACCTTTAAGGTTATTCCAGTTTGTTTCATTAGTCTGAAATGGTCCGAAAGAGCTGAAAACTAAACTGTGTGTTTTTCTGTGAAAAAGGTGGGTTTTGATTTTGGCACACAAACTTTGATTAAGCGTTTCTGTGATGTTTTCGAATCAATATTGATGCTGATATGTGGAAAAAATTCTTTAAATAATAATTTACCTCTGCTTATACATGTCTATTTGTTCATGTGAAGGCTCAGTTCACACTACTGGGTTCGACCTGGCTCAGCGTTTACAGATAAGTGACCAGGAGCGCTTAAGGAGTTCCTGAGATATCGCATTCAGGAAAATTGGACAGACGGACAGCCCAAAAACAACAAAGGCATAAAAGCATACTTACCGCAAGATGGATATAAAAAAAACCCCACAAACTCTACACACAGACTTCAATACTTTAGCATTCATTGTTCTTTTATCTGAACACAGTGCCATGAAATAGGCAGTGCTAGTGAGCTGCAGGGCAACATTTGACATTCAGCAGTAAACAGGTTTTGGAATTTGTGTCCAAAATGTAAACCATGTGAGTTTGGTTAAACGTGAGAACTTGTATAGCACTCAGCCTGCTGTGTTTCAGGGGTTATCTGTTGTTCTTGTGTCACTGTTGACGCAAGTATTTATTTATTTTTTTGATGGATGATAATCTTTTATAGACTTCATGCATTGAAAAGTATTATGAATAGAAGTGACCTTTTAGTACAGGGATTTCTCTGAAGTAATATTGATTTCTCTCTGTTTCCCACTGAATGCCTTTGTGCTCTGTTATTTAAACAAACTTTGAAACAGATTTTGTTCCCATCCTTTAACTTGCAGCTGGATGGTTCGAACTCAGTATGGGTGTGTAATAACTGAATGGAAAAATATCATGTTGTTCTAGTGTTTTCATAATAACTGCTAGTGGTGCTAGCTGTCTGTGAATGTGAAGGATGCTGCTCACTGCTTTTCTACATCTCATCCTGGGAGGTGAAGAGGGACTTAAGAAGTGCACTCCAAATGAATGTGTTTCTGTGTTCACATAATTGTTCCTTTGTAATTTGGGATGTAGGTTTGTGGGTGTTTATGTGACTTCTCAATTTTATGATGAGGGGAAAACACACACAGAGAACACAGAAACTTGCCACATTTACTGTCCTTTCATACAAATTGCCTTTAGGGTTGTCATGGTGACTTAAATAAATGCATCTAGTAAAGCTACTTATTAAATCATGATGGCATGAATGCCAAAACCACATTTTACATACAGTAAGCTTTTATGTGGAAGAAGAATTTAAGTCAAATGTGAAAGAATTAATTGTGAACAAAGACCAGCTGTTCATGTTTTAACAGTGATGTCATTAATAAATCCATCCATCCAGCTATTATCTATACACCGCTTAATCCTCACTAAGGTTGTGGGGGGCTGGAGTCTATCCCAGCTGACTCAGGGTGAAGGCAGGAGACCCCCTGGACAGGTCACCAGTCTATCACAGGGCTACACTTACAGACAACCAAGCACACTCACATTCACGCCTACGGACAATTTAGAATCATCAATTAACCTTAGCGTGTTTTTGGACTGTGTGGGAGGAAGCCAGAGAACCCGGAGAGAACCCACGAGAACATGCAAACTCTACGCAGAAAGATCCCGAGTGTCCTCACCATGACGAGAACCGGCAACCTTCTTGCTACAAGGCAACAATGCTAACCACCGAGCCACCGTACAGCCCTCATTAATAAAAGCAGATCTTAAAATAATGAGCAAAGTTCTCGCCAGAAGGATAGAAAAAGTAACCCCTCTCGTAGTACATCCTGACCAAACAGGTTTTATTAAAGGTAGACGTTCCTCGACTAATACACATAGATTAGTTCATCTAGCAGATTATTCTACTATACATAGTCTGGAATCTACAATCATTTCTTTAGATGCAGAAAAAGATTTTAGTACAATATGTTGACTCACTCTGTCTCTCTCTGTGTATTCCAGGGCAGTGGGCAGAGTGCTCCCTGGGCTATAAGAACGTCTTTAGAAAAACAAGTGGCAGAGCTGAAGGTGAGCAATGAAGTCAAATCAGCCGATTCTACTGATCTGGAGGACAGCCAGCTCAATTCAGGTAAAATGATCAACTCTTCTTCTCCCAAGCAAAAAAATAAAAAATAAGAAAACACTGCAAAGAGCACGCAGTTTAAAGATGGATGCTGTTTCTCAAACACATTATACAAAATACAATTTGGGGATTTGGTGAAATCCAGCGATGCGTAGTGTTCTAACAATACACTAGTTATTATAACAACTATAAACAATAAATATTAACAACAAATGACCCTTCAAGCATCAAGCCCTCCTTGTATCTCGACCTCCGTCTTGATAATCCGACAGCCTTGTTATGCGACATAAAAGGAGGTTTTACATTTAGTGTCGGATTATCGAGTCACGACTATATTTCTTTTTGTACATAGTTTATCATAATGTCATTCTAACTGTAAAACAAACTTAAGATCAGACTAGAAACTGTAAAGCAAAATTATTTATTTGCTATTATATGCAAAAAGGTAGCCAATTTAAAGAGGTAGTGTATCAGAGCAATATACACATTACAAAATAGCACTCACTAAAAAGCACATACAAGCTCCTGTAGGAACTGTAGGCTTGGAAATGGCCACTAAACTCTCATCAGAGCTGAACTACTGACTACAGGCTCCATGGTATATGGCATAGTTTACAATAACAAGTTTCACCCCGATGCATAGTCAGGGTTTGTGGGCTCAGATATATTGGTATATCAAAATGAAAAGCATTTTACTGACATACTAACACTGAGAAGGACTCATTTTTAATAATTTTCATTTTGATTGCTCTATTTGTCAGGAGCGGTCCTTGAAGGAAGGCATATTGAAACTCCGGAATCAAATCACCACCCTGTGATCCCTCATTCCCTCTTATCCCCTGAGAGGACACAGGAGACAGAGACAGAGACAAAAGAAACTTGGTTGTCAGCCCCAACTCGACAAACCATAGTTGCTTTGGGAAGGATGAGAGATGTTGACCCCAGTCAGCAAGAAGGTCAACTATCAGAAAAGGTAGAGACATATATATTTGGACTGATACAACGCCAAACTCTTCCTACACGACCCTCAAAGCCCCGCACCAGCCTGGCACTGGAGACTCAAGCTGTTTATGTGGTGAGACAGAATAGTTTATGCCAAAAGGATGAGCAACATTTACCAAAGCAGGTGTCTGTTCCAGAAATATCTACTCCCTCCACGTGTTCAGAAGGAACTACTCCACAGGCTGGCCATAACCTGGATAAGGAGCATTACCTGAGGACACGTCTTACTGAAGACTCACCACCCCATTATCACCATCTCCAGCCAAGTGTCCAACATCCACCAGGGCTTTATCATAAGACCAGACAGGCTACTATGGTTAACACCTCCCGCTTAACCTCACTTGAGTATTCGTCTTGCAGAGTACTGCCAGCAAACACAGACTCCAGCAGTAGTGAACCTGATTCACCACAACATTTCCACAATTACCTTTCTCCTTCAGTTCTGTCAAAGCCTCATCAGCCTTCTTCTCATGACGAGCTGCTGGTTAGTGCAGAGTATATTCCAGCCCAGCCCTGCCGAGCCGGCACTCGAGCCTATGCACATCACCATTCAAACCCCGGCAAGGGGTCTGGGGTGCCCAAACCCGACCGAAGCACATACTCACCAGAAAGAGGCCATCATCAGGAGCAGCAGCTCACAGCAACTCAAATTCAACCTCCAAGATCCCGAGGAGGCGCCAAGAAGTGTAGATCAAATGAAGATAGGAGTGGTGCCAGCAGGAAGACAGGGAAAAAGGCATGCAGATCTCAGTCAGAAAACAGTCTGCAAAGGGTTCCAGAGCGCAAGTACAATACAGTAGAGAGGGACGGTGGAGGAAATGGAAGTGGTGGAAGGGGAAGCCGCAGTAGTCAATCCAGGAGCAAGAAACAGCAACAAGGAAGCAGTAGCTACAGGCGCTGGCAGTCCACCCTGGAGCTCAGCCAAGATGAAGCTGATCAGCCACCCACGCAAACACTCACACAAAACTCTTCAGCTTCAAACCAAAGGGACCACTGTCTAAGACGCCCACGCAAATCTCGCTCTACACTTGAATCATATGCTCCCCCACACCACAGCCACAACCAACACCTGTCCCACCATCATCAGCATGCTGAGTTTCAGTTAGCGAGTGATCAAATGCAACTGTGTCAACGCAGTGAGAACTACCCCCATCTGGGTCAATGTGAGTCTGAGTCCAGCATGAGTGAGGCTGACACTCGAGATTCCAGCTCTTTGTCCAGTGACTCAGATGAAAGTGGTGGTCTTGTCTGGCCCCAACAATTACCACCACAACTTTGCCTCCCATCACCTCCTGCTCCACCTGGAGCACCTCTGCAGACCAAAGCTTTTGTCAAGATTAAGGCCTCCCATGCCCTTAAGAAGAAGATCTTGCGTTTCCGCACTGGTTCACTGAAAGTAATGACCACTGTATAAAATGGAATGCGGCCAAACTGGGGGAACATAAGATGCAATGATTTAGACTATGCAGAGTGATGGACCACAAACCGTAAATAGGCAAATGAATGTGCATAAAAGTACTATGATTGATTGGTTTTAGAGCAGCCTTAACGAGAAACAAAGGAAATGACATGTCAGCCTTTCTTTTTTACAAAACTAAGGTGTAAAATTATTTAGGAAATTTCACCATTTACAAAAAGTCATGCTTTGTCAAAGGGTACTTTTATTTGGCCCCTAAAGAGCCCCACACATCCACATTTACACACCAAGGAGTTCACAGTTTGTACTGACATTGTCTTTTAGGTCACAGAGAAATGTATGTACATTTTTACCCATACACCAATTAATCTTCCAACACGTTCTCACTGCTTAATCATCACATACGGACGCTTGTTCAGGCTCCCTCTGTGTCACATATTCAGCTGTCGGGTACCCCCCTCTCGTCATTCATTGACTTCCAGGATGCTCTCATTGAATGTTGTAGATCTCCCTAAACGTTAGTAACTGACGACATGAGAGCATGGAGGAGGAGCCTGTTCTGGTGTTTTGGAATAGCATACAAAATGTGCTGCGATGCTTCCACAGCTGATGTGTTTGTACATTTTTGACCTTTTCGCTCATTGGACTTCCGCTTTAACACATTTTGTCCTGCTTCTCTGAATACATGCAGTGATTTTACCATCCAGTTTGGATCGCCAAGCTCTTCCTTTACATGCATTCATATTTTTAAAAAAAGACCATTCATAAAGGAAACACATAGTATTCATTTATTAACATCAAGGCATCTAGTCTACTGGATGCTTCGTTTTGTTTTCGTTTGTTTTATATCAAATCAGCATCACTGATGTCATCATACGCAACTACACCTACCCGATTCGGTCGCTATCACTCGATTGAATGAACATTATCAGTTATGAGCCCATTGTATGGGACAATAGAACCCTACTCTGTCTCCTAGCAGGTCCAGCAGGTCGTTTTCATCTATTGCTATCTCAGCAGGCCTCGTGTAGGACCGTGTTTGTATACGAATGTTAAACCTTTTTTATTTTTTTTTGTATGGCATATGACAGATGAACGAGAGAATATTGTTGGAAGCAGAGCTTGGACATTAAATATAGGCTCTGAGGCTGTTCTTGAAGAGAAAGCTTTATGTTATTAAATTGGCATGAGAAAGTATGTCAGTAAAATTCTAGGTCTTACAAAGCAAAAATAGTTGTCAGATTTTTTTTCAGTCGACTACCGAGATGATGATGTTATGGTGAGCAGGACATTAGTTTTGCATTACAGTTGAAGTTTGTATTTTCATTAAAGTTATCAATATTTTTCTTTACAGATCAGGATAAAGCCTAATCCAAGTTGAACACGTATGTTTTAATTGTTTTGTGGTACCAGTGATTGTTTTAATCCTCTGGGAGTTACAAGTGGAGTTTGACTTATTTAAACCTCTGAAATCTTGGGTCTGCTCTTCTCTTTCGTGTTGAAATCTGTAGGCAAAGCTTTAAAAAAAAAAAAAAAAAAAACTCTCTAAAGGTGTCCAAAAAAAAGTTGTGGCTTCCTACTTGTCTGGCAATGGAAATTAAAAAGAAAAAAATCCATGTGCTGTACAGGTGGCATAGATTTCAAACGACAACCAGTTTATCCACAACTTCAACTAATTTACTCAAGAGCAGACCTTTTGATGCAAAAGGAAGTCTTCCTAACCTCTGAAATTTAATTACAGGATCTGCAGGACACTTTGCCACTGTTGGTGTCAAAATGAAAGAGAAAGAGATTGCGCAAGTTTTCTGTCGGTGCAGACCAAAGACAGGTTCTCAGTAGAACTATCTAATAACACTATATTTGCAATAATCCAAACAGTATTATTATTATTATTACACTGTATATACACATACAACAGCAGAATGTATATTTATTTTTTGTGTTATATTTTATTTTATTTTCACATTAATACTTTATATTTTATTACATATTTTTACTTTAAGACTTTTGATTGGGAGCATCTGTAACTGAAAGCAATTTCCCCTAGGGGATCAATAAAGTATTTCTAATTCTGATATTACTTGTAAATGACGGCATCATATCACGCAGTGCTTGAGAATAATGTGAGGCCATCTGAAGTTCAAGTGAAACCGAAACTGGACCTTTCAACAGGATAACAATCCAAAACACACAATGAAATCCACCAAGAAATGACTCAAAACAAAGGAATACAGGTTTATTAAATGGTCTAGTCAAAGCCCAGATTTGAGTCCCATTGTGATTGTGATTTGAAATAGGTAGTACACATAAGTAAACCTCAAACATCTTGCAACTGAAGAAATTATGCAAAACACATCCAGGAAGGTATTTCTGCTGAAGATACTGACTTCTGAGGGTTACTTACTTACTTATAATACCGCATCTTTCGGCATTCTTACTAAATATGTGATTGAAAAAGATCATTTATCCTTAAAGATGCTGCTTTTATCCATAGATACTGTTTCAGGATCAAATGTTGGCTTGTCCAGAAAAGCCAAAAATGTTAATTTCCTACTTATTCTCCATACTTATTGCATTTTCACATGACCGTAAGCCTGCCCAGTCACTGTCAGGCACTGTGTGGCAGTAGTAGTCCCAACATTAAAAGCTTTTCATCTTAAATACCAGTATGAATTAAATCATAGTGTTAACGCTTACCACATGTTCGCTCTGATGCACTTCCCTGTTTGCAGAGTGAAAAGACAGCAAAGTTTAATGTTATTCAGATGTGTTACTGTGCACAAAGCTCTCTGAAATACCTCTTGTGGATGCAAATCGTTTTCACACAAACACTGTGCCTAATGTAGATGAAGTGTCACACACAGCAACTAAGTGTTCTTGAACAAATGTGTACAGAATGTTAAGTACTTACAATGTCTACTGTTGTAATATTAATATTATGGTATTTGTAGAGAGTAATAAAAATGTGCCTGCAAAAAGAATGTATTTAACATTACAGTGTATCTTTTCGTATTTGACAGTATTGTCATTTAACATGTACAAGCCGATTAGTAGCTTCTCCTTGTAAGTAATATGTTCACCAAACTGCGATGAATAAATAGTATGTTTGTCTTAAAATCCAGTACTTGTATTTCTTTGTAATTCTGGGGAATCGTGCCAACCAGTGTTCTTTCAGTGAAGGTTTGTTCAAAGCGTCATCCGAGGTGTCACCAAATGTTTTTTTAATGCAGACCTCACACTGTGATGCGGGTAAAGAAAGCACATACATAACAGCCAGAAGGCTTGGTTTTAGTGATGGAAATGCTGAGTGGTTCAAAATATGTGAGAGAAGGAGTGGAAGACCAGAGAGAAAGGACTGAAGGGGAAATTTTAAGGCGTAAGAGGAATTTTAGCTTGTTTGAGAGTAATGACTGTATCTCTGTTAACACCAGCAGTAGAGAAGAAGAAAGTGAAAGTTACGTCATCTGCATTGGATGATCTATGAGACTGTGTTGTGCTTTGCTGATTTTGTATGATTGAAGCTGTTTTTACCAATGCTGTAAGATTACTGCAACTATTACTGCTACAACTACTATTTCACAGTTTTTATTATTGCAACTATTATTACAAAAACTAGAACTTTTCTGCTATTTCTATTGAAGTTCGTAATGCATATGTTGCTACAAAACAACAGTTACCAGTTATTACTAAAACTGAAACTGCTAATACAAAGGTGTTAAAAGTATTGATATGCTATATTGTTTACAACTACTTTACCTGAGTTATTGCTACGATAATTGTTATTTCTACAACTACTACATTACTACCTCCAGCACTGGTAGAACTATTATCACGGTACAACTTAGGAAATCACTATGATTACTGCTACTAGTATTGTTGTTAATTATAAAGCACCCAGTATACACAAGTACTACAACCAATAAACAGTTTGTAAATTGTAAGGCTGCCTATTTGTTATTTTGATGCTGACATACAGCATAAACAGTCCTTTATCAGCACCGACTGTTCATCTATCACAGTCAAACCCTCTCTCATGTAGACAGAGGAATGCTGAGTGTGGGAAGAGTCGATGCGTGTCTGTATGTAAGGGGATTTTCTTGAGTTGGGCTGTTTTATCACATTAGGATTCAATCCCAGCTGTTTCAGTTTACTGAAGGAGAAAGGTGGGAGGGAGAGGAAAAGATGACGGGCAAGAAAGAAAAGAAGCCAGTTGTCACCTCTGTGACATTCAAAGGGCCTCCACATCTCACAATCCATTTCAGTTTTACCAGCATTTTGTCAGCTGCCATTCTGTCACTTTCACGTCTTTTCCTTCCCTCCTTCATTCCTCCATCTGTTAGTGGTTAGAACGAACGTCCTCCCTTCAGGGCTAGGAACCGTTAGTATTTCCTGCTTTGCCAGACAGCAAATGGGAGAGAGGCGAATAAGGAGGAGAAGGAAAAGAAAAAGGGGGAAAAAAAGAGGCACAGAGCCTGTAGAGGAAACCCACAGCAAGAAAGAGAAACAGAGAGATGGTGAGAGAGGAAAAGAGGGGATAACAGAGGAGGAGGTTGAATTAAGCCTTCGTGTGCATACATCTGGCTTTGATTAGCCAGACAGAGAGGGTGATGGTAAGAGAGAGGAGACAGAGGGGCTTTTCTTTCTGGCAGCTCTGGGGATACAGCAATTGACCCATTTTCTGTTTTTTCTCCATTGTTTTTCATTTTTCCTGGCTTTCACACAGTTCATTTGCATTTCAAACATCTGGAAGCAGACACTGCTGTCTCCATAGCCAAACAATAGAATGGCAATTTAATGCATGGTCCATTTTCTTCTACATTATTTTGTATTTTCTTTCTCACTACCCCAGGCCCCTCTTTTCATTCTCACAATGATTGACTCAAATACACACAAATGCAAATGTTCATGTAGAAACACACTACATGCCATCTACATTAATGATGCATACTTTCACTCCCATGCTGGAATGGACCGTTGACCTGTTCAGGGTGTGCACTGCCTTTCACCCTAAGTCATCTGTGTTAGGCTCCAGCACCTCTGTAACCTTCTACAAGATAATGCAATGTTGAGAAAATGGATGGATGGATGGATGGATGGATGGATGGATGGATGGATGGATGGATGGATGGATGCTGTTACTGCCAAACACCTTTCGTTAGAGGCCATGTATGTCAGGATCTCTGCTTCTGCCCTGCTTGGCTTCCTCTGCCTCTCAGCACTCATCACAGTAATCAGTGACAGCTGCTTTAACCAGCTCACCTGTTTGTAATCATCACAGCCCATAAAAAGCAGCTCATCCTGCAGCCCTGCTTGAAAAATTTCTCTTCACCTAACTGCTTGTGCTTGTACAGATACATGGCTTACAGTATACCAACACCATACCGGATTTCCGAAATGCGGTGTTTGGCTGTGAAAAAAAAGATAGGACTACATTACCAATTTAGTTCGTCTACCAGTGGAATGAGGGGAACACAGCTTTTGCTGTCAACCAAACTAATATCAGTAGCCAATGGGAAGTAGAGTGGGGCCGGGTCTTAGAAAGACGTCGAGATCCAGCTGCAGCTGAGTCCATACCGGAGTTTCACACAAGTTTCACAGAGTTCTGTACGCTGATATCAGGTGCATGGAGAAGAGATTCTTGAAGCAAGGGAAGACGTCCTCATCAATAAAGGAATTAAAATTAAATGGCGCTGGGCGTGGTTGGAAGAGTCAAGCAAGCCCTTTGGTTGCTGGTGCAAAAAAACTGAAGGAACCAGGTGCTTGCTTCTGTATCATCTGCTCAAAAAAACTCATGTACGCAACTCGTGGCAAAAAGTGCTGTCAGATCACGAGTCAGACCCCAGCCATAGAGCTGCTGTCCACCCACTGAAGTATAATAATAATAATAATAATAATAATAATAATAATAATAATAATAATAACTATAAAACAAGATGTGAATGCTTTCATCATGGGGACTGAACTTCATGCTAGTGGTATATGTTGCTCTGCTTCCCTCTAGTTGCTAGGTACTGTAATACCATGATCACAAAGTAAAATTATAGTAGATATATATGTATGTATATAACATATATAGAATATATCGACAATCACCTCCACAAGACCTTAACATAACTAGTTGAACTTGACTCTGTGACCTAATTTCCGTAGCGGGGCCTGTGCATGATGTACTGTCCACACTACACTTCTCAGTTTAGTCAGTCAGAAAAGAAATATTTGCATGCTTGTAGAAATAAATAAAACTTTATTATTGTACAATCACAATCTAGGTTGACAGGGCAATGCATAAAAGAAAGGTGCATACATGTCTAGAACTGTTGCCACACAGAAGTATGAAACAATCCTCTACATTGGTTTCTCCTTTTATTTGGTGATAAAGGACTTCTGGATTTAACTCTCATTTTGCAGCAGTGTGTGCTCTTCAATAATATGATAATATATATATATATATAATATATAATTCATTTCATCATGAATCCTCACCAAAATAATTCAAGAAATAAAACGTAACATCACATGAAGGAAATAAAACAAATTCATTTGTGAATAAACTAAAATGTCTGTAATAAATAAGTAACATAAGGATTTCTAAATATGTTTTGTTGTTCAAGCTGGGAAAAAAAAGACTTCAGTGATAAAAACTATGACGAGGGACATTCTCACCTGGCATGCACCTATTCTCTTCACTGTGTTGAAATCAGAGTATCTTTATGTAAAGGTCTTGGTATACGCTGCAGCATTTCAGTAAAAAGGAAAGAAGAAGAAGAACAACAACAAGAAGAGGAAGGATGTCAACTAATCACTGTAACTGCAACATGTAATATCTTATACAAGTGATCATTATCACCCTTACTGACAAAATCGTGACTTCCCCAAATTCCCTAAAAGTTTTTGACATGAGACATTTTTTAGGGGCTGCATACATGTATCCAAGATTAAGGGCAATAGTACTGTTGCAGTAAATCTTTTCAGTGATGGGGCAATTGAATTTCAAGCTGAAATGTCAACATTCCATCAGAAAGGATTTCACCTTGTCACAAATTGTGATTTATTTGCCAATGTAATTTAATAATATTTAACAATGGCATAAAATGTGGTGGGCTGCAAGGTGGGTCAGTGGTTAGCACCGTTGCCTCGCAGCTAGAAGGTCGCCGGTTTGCGTCCCGGTGAGGACACCCGGGATCTTTCTGTGTGGAGTTTGCATTATCTCCCCATGCAGCGTGGGTTCTCTGTGATAGACTGGCGACCTGTCCATGGTGTCCCCTGCCTTCACCCTGAGTCAGCTGGGATAGGCTCCAGCTCCCCCACGACCCTAGTGAGGATTAAGAGGTGTATAGATAATGGTTGGATAAAATGTGGTCAAAACCACATAAAGATACTGATCAGTTATTTGGAAATGATGGTGTTGCCCTCATTTCTGTTGGTCCACTAATGCCATGAATGAGTTCTGCCATGACACAACTGGAGTTCTCTTTACTACGATAACAGTCAAAACAGACATGCAGGAACTGGCCCGGGTTTACATGGTTAGTTAACCAGCCCTGCTAGTCATTCATCAGATAGCATTTGCTGTAGGAGGAGATTTGCATCGCAAAGGAAAAGATATCACCCTGAGGAGTGGTGGAGAGTTATTCTCTGTCCGTTTGTATTCTGTCCACAGTGGCAGATACAGTAACAATAAAGTGCAACAGTTAACCTCACATAGTTTTAAACTACAGGTAGCAATCCAAAAGTAGCAGTACTGGAGTCAGCTTAGTGTTACTTATTTGAAATTGATCCAGATATGTTTATACATGTAACCATGTCAACCTTCCCAAGAGGTTTATTAGGATAGCCACACATTCAGAGGTAACATAAAGGTTATACACAATTCACGTGAACTGCAGTGGTCTCAAGTCCATACTGGCTGCACTGGTTCAACTCCTCAGGCAGGGTGGGGCAGCCTCAGGGGGGGTGGGGGAGGCGGGTGGGGTCAGCCGGAAGAGGGACAGTTGACTCTGGGATGGTCCTATAGAAGACTTCCGGACAACTGAGCTGTAATAGTGAAAATAGAAACCATGCAGTCAGTGGCGCACTAGATACAGACGGTATGAAAAATCTGCAATTTGCTTGAAGTACAAAGGTCCGGTTCATAATTCACTGGTGCCTTAGTGTTCCCTCAAGTGAGGTAACAATTAGATAAAGTCAAAATGTCACTGGAAGGCAGGATTCCTCTGCATTATCCTTTTCTGTCACAGTGACAAAGTGATGTAATATCAGTCCTTAAAAAGTCAGGATTTCAGTGCCAACAGACAAAAGCTCAAGTGTGGGGAGAATTATAACCAAACACTTGTGGTCCTTACCCTTCTTCAGTATCCTCCTGCTGCTCTCCATCTACAGAGCCCTCTGTGGGATCAGCACTGCTGTCCTCCTCCTCGTCTTCCTCCAGACTGCAGCCCATTGGGCATCGTGAAGGTGAGCCCAGCTCCCTGCTGTCATACTCACTGTGCTCTGTGGGCTCCACAACAATAGAGGGGAGACGTTCCCTTCTGTAGAGAAAGTCTGCAGGGTAATCTGATTCTTCATTCGTGTTGGCTTCAGGAAAGATCTGGATCAGGGACGAGATCCATTATTCATAATGGCCATCAAAAATAAATTAATACTCAATACAAAAACAATACACATCTTCATATTTGCATTCACATCTAAGATCACGTTATGTCCTAGACAAGGTAGCTACCAAAGGCAGTGAGTATCATGTTGTCAGAGTAAACTGGTAAAATTATGTGAGAAAAACATTTGTCTTCTTAGCTTCAATGATATTCTGTGATCATTTCAAGATATACAGCCTCCTGTTTTGTTTTGTTTTTTTTCTATGTTCTGCTATGTAGTATAGTGATTTTAAATGTAAAATGTTAAACACTTTACCAAACTCTCTGGCACTGAGGGTTTTTGAAGAAATAATTATGCCATTGGACCTAGATATTGTCATTAAAATAAACCAATTTGGCATTGAAAGAAGGCATGCCACTGTACTGCAGTAAGAGTTGTACCTGATAGGCTTTGCTCCCTCTTCTTTGAACTGGACGGTCCTCCATCTGAGATTCTACTTGACTGAGAATGACGTTCATACTGCAAACACACACACACACAACAGAAATGTTTGTTTAGTTGTTTTCAATTATTTGACCTAAATTTATTAATTAATTACCATAACAGGATTTTTAGAATTATGAGAACTGCACTCTGTCAAACATCAACTGTACACGCTGACACTTAGTGATCTAAGTACATCGTTACAATTCCTACAATCTGTTTATCCTATTTATGCACTTTGTATTTATTCATTTATTATGCATTATGAGACAACAGACAACCTTTGCTTCAAATTTGCAATGACAATAATCAAATTCTACTCTATTATATTAGGTATCATTAGGCCAGTTCCATCTAGTGCAAAAAACACAATATCACTTTGCTGGCAGCAAGCAGAACGTTATGCTTTGCTCTTTCTCTCTCTCCCCCCTCTCTTTTGTGACAGTAAGTATATTAATGTGTAATAATTCAAGTGTAATAATTAAGGTGTAATAAGCCTTGTGACAAAATATTACAAGTGTACATTACAGTATAATATATATTAGTTCAGCTGCAGAAACTTGAATACAGATTATTGTTTATACAAAATTAAAAATGAAGATTTACTATAGGGGCTTAATAGTATAACAACCAACCATTTAAATAGCTGTTGTCACAGAGAACGAACACAAAAGTGACTTCAAAAAACAAAAATGTGCCACAGTTTTATTTTCCTCTGCAAAGCTAGTAAACAGCATCATGTGTTAGAGTCTATGGGAAAGTCTGATTTGAAAAGTCCTGGGAGTTTATGAGATCAAAATGTTATCCATATTTGTATCTGTACGCTTTTGTTGTGTTGTACTATCTATCTATCTATCTATCTATCTATCTATATATCTATCTATCTATCTGTCTACAACAACTTTCCAGAAATTTTCAACTCCACTCAACTCTATAGGGACCTGTGGATGGAGCATTTGACACATTCTCAATACAGAAAAGTGTAACAACTGTCCAAATGAGATGGGAGACAGCAAGGAAAGAGTTTCTCCTGCCGAGTTAATCTGCAGGTAAGTACTTAATGACATAACAGGCTTGATCTGCAACGGACTGGTCAACCCGATGGTGGGGGAAGGGATGAACATGAGTGTTACGTTCAAATTGACAGTCTCATATTGTGTCACAGAAAGACCAGACCTGGCCATTAAAATTTCATGACATATTGTATCATAATGAATGTATAGTGCATGTTTCTACTGTATATGCACATTAACAATAAAAAAAATATGTATTATGGAGGTGAAATGTATTGTCTCTAAACACCAATGTTCTATTTTAGACAATAAATATATTTTTATATGCTCTTAAAGTCAATGTGTGCAGGTTTTACACGACTGTATCAAGTAGTTACGTGACTACTAACTAACTGGACCAACTGTATAGTGAGCTCTGAAAATGGGGGCATGATGTTTATCCCAGGCTGTTGGCATGTAATCCCATTTCTACCTTAAGGGTTCGAAAAAATTTGGTCTCTGAAATCAGTTATCTTGTTATCTTACTCTACATTTGCCAAAGTTTTGCCATTTTACATTAATGATGTGGCACAGCACACTAAATTTCTCACAGTTCCAGAAAGTTTGAGCAGTTAGTTGATTGTGTAAAATGTCTCAGGAGTATTTTAGTGTTGAATCTTACCTGTGTGACGCAGGAATACAGCTCATCTCCGCAGAGGCCTACGGACAAAAACAAGAACGTACTCCAAAAACCTTGGAAAAGAAACTGTACTATTCTCGTTCAAAGTTGGCCTCTCTGTGCTGCCTGTCACTTTGCTTTCCTGTTTGCTGCCAGTCACAGGTCCAGCTTCCTTTCTTTCATAAATCCCTCCCCTCCACTGTTTTCTCCTCCCCTCCCAACATTTTCCCACAGTGTCCTGTTTAATGACGACACCACGCATTCACACTGATGCTCAGACCTTCTTTCCGAGCTGACAGGCTTAGTGTCACCTTCGATTACAAACAAAAGCTTGACGTAACATGTGAGTGTGCAACATGTGGCCTTGTACATAGCCTAAAGATTAGTCAGTGAGCTTTCTGTCTTCACACATTCATCGCATTTGAGAGTTTATTTTACATCATGATTAACACCAGACACTGACCCGAGTACCCCAACTATACATTATTCAACAGGGTTAATGTCGAGAGCTACCTAATAGGGACTCAAAGAGGATTGGGGATAGTATGTATGGAGTCAGCCAGGTTTTCTGTGATATTCTGGGGCCAAAGCTTAGCAGTGTGGGAGGTGTCATTTTAGAGAGACAATTCATCACCAACTATGAACTCAGGAGAGATAAAAGTTTTTAATGCACCTATGTTGACACGTAAGTAATCTGTCTAATCATATGTAAGGTGTTCCCCTTTTCGTTACTCCAGCCATAGCAGTAATTTTCTAGCTCATGCAGCAGGAGGTGCTCATGCATGTGTTGTTGTCTGTAGAGTAACTTGCCACTGACTGCTGCATGGAATACGTTAAAAGAAGCAACATAATTCTTGCAAAATTACTGTCGTCTGACCAGATTACAGAGATGAACCATTACAAGATGATCCCTGCATGTAATTACTTTGCTTAATGTGTCCTTCAGTTTTATTAAAACATCATTATTCTCTTTCTGGGTTTAGTGTAGAATATTAATCATGCTATATGACATCTGTAATGGAATTTTGGCTCAAATGGACTGTTGAACAGTGTGTTGATTGAAACGTCCTTAACCAGAAGATTAATATTTAATAACCGATCAGATTTATAAAGCGCTTTTCGAGGCACTCAGAGATGCTTAACACTGTCAATTTTCATTCACACACATTCATTCTGGTGGTGGTAGCTACGATTGTAGCCACAGCCGCCCTGGGGCAGACTGATAGAGGCGTGGCTGCCATTCTGCGCCTACAGCCCTCCGCCCCATGTCTCATTGTCACTGTGCTCAGCGCCATGAACATCCTGCTACCCACACTGGCTGTCGTTCTTCCAGTCCCTGAGTCAGCCAGTGTTAAGTTTGCATATGAGTTGGTCAAGGCTTCTCCTCCACCTGTGAACTCCAGGACTGATATGACACCTCTCCTATTCCTGAGTCTGCCCCTAGGCCTGTCAACACATACCTGGTTCTTGAGTCATCCTATGCCCTATCAGTTTATTATGAGCCTATTGTTTAGTCAGCTGACGCCTCTTCTTTTCTTTTTGTCTGGGTCTCCTGATACCGTTCCTGTTTCCAAGTCTGCATTAACTGACACCACTTCTGTTCCATCTGAGTCAACCAGCATCATTCCTATTCCTGACTCGGGGTCAGATGACACCTCTCCTGCTCCCAAATCAGCTCCTGTGTCTGTGAAGGGTGGCACGTCTTTGTTTGCTGAGTGTGGAGTCGAATCAGTGAACAAGCCAGGCCCACACACCTTCTATGGTCAGCTGACACAAAATCTCTTCCTAAGTCAGCTGATGTTACACAGTTCCTCAGTCAGACAGAGTGCCCTGCAACAGCCGTCATCTTTGACCGTCAAAATGAGAAGCCTCTGTCCACCCTGTTTGCTGGTATCCTGCAGTATCCAGCCACCTCATCACCACTGGTGATGGCAAAAGCCCTGGTCTACCTATGTCGCTGGAAGGCCTTTGCCATAGGCTACCTGTCTGACCTCCAGAGGTGTTCCACCTTTGCTGTCAGACTCCTGTTTGGCCTACATAGGGCTCCTGTCTAATTGATCAACCCCTGGGCCATCCTCCTATGCAGTTCCATTTGCCATCCCTCCCTATAGCTTATATTTTTTTCCTTTTCAGTTGTTTCTTTTATATTGAACACATTGGTTGGAACACATTGCAGTTCCATATGACAACTAATGAACTCTTTAAAAGTTTTTTTTTTTTTTTTTATTTACCTTAACTATTTTGAAAAAAGTACAATCACACTGTACTGTGGAAGTGCAGAGCATTAGTTTAATAGCTGTGTGGCAGCTGTGTGCTATATTTATAAAGAGCGAGTTGGGGAGGAGAAAGAGAAGAGTGAGTGAGTACACACAGAGAGCTAGAGACCCTGTGGTAGACAGCAAAGGGGGGACAGAAATATTAAATGAATGAGCATACAACTGAAGAATGAGGATTTTTCAGAACCAATGAGGCGGGTGAGAATCTCTGCTGCTTTCTTGAAAAAGAGTGCGAGAAGAAGACAGAGGAAAACATGACACGAGGAGGACAGAGAGGCATGCCAGAGGGCAGAGAAGGGTAGAAACAGCAGGGATATTAAAAAATAAATAAAATCAGGCAAGCTATTAAAAATCTTGGCTCATTTACAAAATAAGAGATTTGCAAGCATCAGAACATGACAGTGTAACAGTAATAGCCAGCACTGATTCAGGTCAGTGGTTCCTGTTTGCTGTCTCACATGAGAAATAAAAAGGGAAGAAAACAAGCATGGAATGGTAATAAACAATAATTAGTGATAGACAAAAAAGGTAAAGAGGACCTCTGTGCCTCTCTGTTATGTTTCATTGTTGCAGTAGAAGCTTTGGAGTACTTTCAATAGATGGAGTGTGGAGAGAGGCAGACCCAAGCACCAAAAAAGGTCTTGATTCAGAGCTAGAGAAACTGCAGGCTTGACAGATGCACAGCCAAGGAGAGAGAAGAAAAGGGAGAGACGGAGATGGGGGGGTGGGGGGAGATATAAAAACAAACAAGAGAGAAAAAGTGACAGTACACCAGAAGCGAGGGGAGGATTAGGGAACAAGAACTGTCTAAAGAGGATGCTGTCATGGAAAAACTATATTCCTGTACTGTGATCAAGAAGTGTAGCAAGTGATAGAATAGAAAGACAAGGCAGATCCGCCAGTGCTGGATTGGGACTATAGTTAGGTGGTGATCCAGAGAGATAGATCTAAAGAGCAAGTATTTGTGTCGGTGAGGACGGGGGTGCTGTTCAAGAAGGGCAGTAAGGGAGGGCCGTTGCTGTAAATGTGATTGTCGAGAGACCAACCACAGCAACTGTAAACTCAGAGGCAGAAAAGTATTTGTCTTGCTCTACTGTACATCCAAGTCACCATGGCCATCAGGGTTTCACCACTACTCTAAACAGCCCTCAACTACTTTGCACCATGTCGACGGGCCCTGGCCTTCTTTTACCTGAGCTGACAGGGAGCCCCCTAACCACAGGACTTGCTGGTCTCCAGACACTGTTGGACCTACTGGTCGGTGTCTATCAGGAGTTCTACTCCTCACCTTTCACAAAGGAGAAGTATGTCTCTGGTTTTCTGCAGTGGGGTGAGTTTTTGCTTCTTATTTCCAAGTGTGTGTGTGTGTGTGCACGCATGTGTGTGTGTATTTTGTTCCATTTCCATACCAAGAAGTTCTGCTACTGCTTGACAGACTCACATGTGAAGCCACTGTGAATCCTTCATAAATCCACCTTTACCAAGACGTTTAAATGTCAGACTAAACAACTAAATGTGCTATTCACATGATGCTACATGCTAGTTGGCAGCAATTGATACTGGATTTTTCGAAATGTTCTTTTTTGTTTAGTTTTTGTCTTCTTTTGGGTTGGGAGTGAAGGTGGGGGCAGGGTGAAAGCGCTTCATACTTGAGTGTTTTTATTTTCTATCCCTAAGGTTTCAGGTGCATGAACTTGGCAGCAATGATTTATCTACAGTGCCAGTGTCTTGCCCTATAGCCTTTATAGTAAATATATACTGTAGAATATGCAGATACCATTAAGGTCAAGGGCTTTTTTTGTTTTGTTTTTATGTTGGCAGATGTTTAGAGTAATATTGTGGCGCATGTCGTCTCAGACAGTGGCGAGCACAGATAATGCTCCAGTGAGTGCGTGGTTATTTTTGTACTAAAGTTATTTGTAGAACTTGATCTTGCCACAAGGGCACATGGGGGCATTTAGGCCAACCAGAAGAGCTCTTATATTGATTAGAGGGGAACACAAGTGCTCTAAAATCACTGACAATCCTTACTAAATTGACCTTTTGCTTTTAACCATTATCCAAGGTTTATACCGGCTCACATGTAAGGAAATCATTATACATCAGTGACCTAACCCTCGGCCATTGTAACAGAAACAGAGCGATGAATTGATGAATGATAATTAAACATCTTAACTTTCCCCAACTGTCGGCATTCTACTATGTTTTGCTTACAAATGGTCAATGAAGTGTTTGGGTTTCAGAATCTCAGTGTATTTGGTTGATGACATTACTACCTAGAGTTATGCACGTTTATAGATTTAAACATGAAAAAATTAAAATAGCTTAATATGACATGTATGATGTCCATCAATGACAAATACAGCATCTTCAAATATGCAAAAAACAAAAAATATTCAAAAAAACTTAAGCCTATCAAGGTGAAAATCCATCTACATATAATATAGCCTTTAAGTTTCCACATCACACTAGTGTGGAGCAGGATAGCTTTCTGAAGCAGTTCTGATGTCACAAATCCTGTTTGCAGGTCCACACTTTATATTCTCATTTTATACGAGCTTGGAGAAACTTTCTAGTTTCTGCATGAATCAGAAAACAGCCATCTGGTGCAAAACTGAATTACGTTATTCTGACCCAGACAAGAAACTTTTCTTTTTACTATCTTTCTTTTTTTTCTTTTTGAGGTGAGGGAGGCCTAGATAAAGTTTGAAACTGTTGATCAGTTTTCATAAGTAAATCATATAGAAGAAGACATATACAGTTGAAATCAGAAATTTGCATACACTATATAAAAGACATATAGCCTATTTTTCTCACTATCTGGCATTGAATCAAGGCACTTCACATAGTGAGTGCCATAGCAACCTTACAAAATTATAAAGAGAAACCCAACAAATTGTTTGGATTTCCAGCACTTTGCAAGAGTGGGAAGAAAAAAATTCCCCTTTAACAGGAAGTAACCTCTGATAGAAAAAGGCTCAGGGAGCTTGACTATCTGCCTTGACCAACTGGGGTTGGGGTAAAGGAGAGAGAACAGGGGAGCAGAGATAAAACAGACAAACAACACACTTCTGAGGTTGGTAAGGCCAGTAAATGCAGATTAGAAATGTTTAACTCCACAGCCAGAGATGGACAAACACAATCTACAGGAGAGAGAAGATGCAAAGCAAGTGACGTGTAATGGTGGTGTACAAATCTATAGGGACAGAAAGACACAAAAGGATAGGTTGGCTTTAAACGTCCCTTAAATCTCCGTCTCGTAAGTCTCAGAGAGCTACTTTTATCCTGGAGCTTTGTGGTGTCTCTCCCTTTGCTTTCCACAAAGTGACAGATTTCTTTCAGTGGTTGGTTTAAATCTGATCGCAGGTGATTGCACGAGCACTGATTCTGATGAGTAAGTCAACAGAGAGGTGGCGGGAGCTGGCAGTTACAGGCCTTGCTTGATGTGACAATGTACCACCTCTTGCAGTGCAGTCTGGGAATTGTAGTGTCAGCATTGTACTGTCAGGTCCATAAATATTTGGACATTGACACAATTTTATGCATTTCGGCTCTGTACTCCACCACAGTGGATTTGAAATGAAGCAACCAAGATGTGCTTTAAGTGCTGACCTTCAGGTTCAATGTGAGGGTATTTACATCCAAATCAAGTGAACGGTGTTGGAATTACAACACATTTTATGTGTGCCCTCCACCTTTTAAAGGGACCAAACGTAATTGGATAAACTAACATGGTCATTAATCAAATCATCACTTTTAATACTTGGTTGCAAATCCTTTGCAGTCAATGACAGCCTGAACTCTCAAATCCGTAGACATCACCAGATGCTGGAGTTTTGTCCCTGGTGATGCTCTGCCAGGCCTCTACTGCTGCTGTCTTTAGCTCCTGCTTGTTCTTGGTTCATTTTCCCTTCAGGTTTGTCTTTGGCACCTGAAATGCATGCTCAATTCTGTGCAGCCTTTTCTATACACCTCACAAAGGCATTTGATATATACTGGTCAAAAAAATTAAGGGAACAGCTAAATAACACAACATAACTCCAAGTTAATCACACTTCTGTGAAATCAACCTGTCCAGTTAGGAAGCAACACTGATTGTGAATCAGTTTCACCTGCTGTTGTGCTAATAGAACAGGCAACAGGTGGAAATGAGAGGCAACTAGCAGGACAACCCCTATAAAGGAGTGGTTGTGCAGGTGGTGATCACAGACCATGTCTCTGTTCTCATCCTTTCTGGCTGATGTTTTGGTCACTTTTGCATTCTGTCAGTGCTCTCAGCCCTAGAGGTAGCATGAGGTGTGTCTACAACCCACACAAGTTGCTCAGATAGTGCAGCTCATGCAGGATGGCACATCAATGCGAGCTGTGGCAAGAAGATTTGCTGTGTCTCTCAGCACAGTGTCCAGAGCCTGGAGGAGATACCAGGAGACGGGCCAGTACACCAGGAGACGTGGAGGGGGCCATAGGAGGGCAACAACCCAGCAGCAGGATGGCTACCTCTGCCTTTGTGCAAGGAGGACTAGGAGGAGTGCTGCCAGAGCCCTGCAGAATGACCTCCAGCAGGCCACTATTATGCATGTTTCTGCTCAAACTGTCAGAAACAGACTCCATGACGGTGGTATGAGGGCCCGACGTCCACCAGTGGGGTTTGTTCTTACAGCCCAATACTGTGCAGGGCGACTGGCATTTGCCAGAGAACACCAAGGTTAGCAGACTGACCATCGGCACCCTGTGCTCTTCACGGATGAGAGCAGGTTCACACTGAGCACATGTGACTGACATGGCAGAGTCTGGAGACGCCGTGGAGGACGTTCTGCTGCCTGCAGCATCCTCCAGCATGACCAGGTTGGCGGTGGGTCAGCAATGGTGTGGGGAGGCTTTCTTTGGAGGGCCTCACAGCCCTCCATGGGCTAGCCAGAGGTAGCCTGACTGTCATTAGGTACCGGGATGAGATCCTCAGACCCATTGTGAGACCATATGCTGGTGCAGTGGGCCCTGGGTTCCTTCTGATGCATGACAATGCTAGGCCTCATGTGGCTGACGTGTGTCAGCAGTTCCTGCATGATGAAGGCATTGATGCTATGGACTGGCCTGCCCGTTCCCCAGACCTGAATCCAACTGAGCACAACGTGGCGTTGGTGTGTGCCAACAGGCACAATAGTAATAGCCTCAGTAGAGCAGCAAATATTCTTCAGGACCAACCCCATCCTGGACTCCATCTGTTTGACCCACTACCCTTTGGTAGACACTTCAGGTTCAACAAATCACAGGCAAACAGACTAAAACGCAGCTTCAATCCCAGAACCAGAAGAGAACTGAACTCCAAACTGAACACACGAGCTGTCTGGGTTCTACTAGAAACTTAACTACAACCTTTTCCACTTTGTATTTATTTTTCATGCACTGAAGAGAATTTTAAATAAAATATTTCAGTACTGCACATTCATTTTCAGTTTTCACTTCATGAGTCCAGTAGTTGTTATATGAGGTCCAATGTTTTAATCAATAGAACATCACTGCATTACAACCTCTCGTTTTTATTGTCCAGAAATGAATGGCAGCATAACTCCATCACTATGTTCTGTCTTTATAATAAGGGTTCATTACAGTACACAATGCTCTGTTCTGTCCTCCAATCGCAGCTGAACCCCTGGTGAGGCAGGTTAAGAAGACACGTCTCAAAAGAGAGGACTTTCACATCCTGAAGGTGATTGGCCGAGGCACATTTAGTGAGGTGAGCAGGACTGCAGCAGGAATTTTACATCTAAAGCATTTTGAATTGATTAATTATTTGACTTAATGATTCAAGATTTCCCTCCAGAAATGTTCAAATATATTTTTAAGCCTCTTTCATTTACACACTTTTCACAAATTATTTTTATGAGTAATGATGTATGTGTGTGTTTTTGTTGTTGTTGTTGTTTGTTGTTGTTTTTTTAATAATTTGTAAGGGAACCTGTCTGCCTGGCACTGAACTGTCAAAATAATGTAGTAAAAAGTTAAATATCCCAGCTCCTCTGGACACATATACAGACGTGATTTAGGTTAAAACCCCTTTTAAACCTTTATCCTTCTTTTTCTGCTCTAAATTGTCAGTAAAATGAGCACACCTGCACAATTTAATGCGATCCAATGCACTACAAGACCTATAACAAACCCTGCCCTTTAACTGTTTCTTCCAGTTTTTGTTGATAGTATGTCAGAGACATGTCATGTTCTACTCTACGGGGTTTCTTAGACAGTCTTCATTGTCAGATTTCATTACAAAAAGAGAAGTTTCAGATATTCATCTCCATACTTGTAAGTGAATGGGTGTTTATCCATTCAAAACAATACAATACTCCAGTGAAGCATTGGAGAAAAGTACACTGATTATTTTCAATTTATGTGCAAATGTACATACTGCCAGAGTTTGTAAACACCACTACATCTATTAGACAGTCAGTATCTCACTGACTATTACTGTCTTTACATTTTGTGCCTGTTGTTGTGGTTTCTTTGTCTTGTACTTATCACAGGTTGCTGTGGCGAGAATGCGAAGCACACAACAAGTGTATGCTCTGAAGATTATGAATAAGTGGGATATGCTGAGGCGAGGAGAGGTACACGCACAAACCTTAACTCACATTCACAGGGGCATTCATGTGTTCTTTTTTTTTTTTACTGTTTTCCCGACTGAGAGGTAAAAAACAATCAAAGTCAAACTTTCATCTATGCTAGATGTTCTTCAGGGTTTTTTTCGTTGTTGTTTTTTGGGGGGTTTTTTGGCATTCAGAATTTTTTTCTGGCTACCTAGCTTTGATCCAGTTGTCTCTGTGTTTTATACAGACAGCATGCTACCAGGAAGAGAGAGACGTTTTGCTGAGGGGTGACAGACGGTGGATTACAGCGTTGCACTATGCCTTTCAGGATGACAACTATCTGGTATGTAATGATGAAACTTTCCAGGCAATGTGTTGTACCCCTACAGTAGGTCCTGCTTATCACGAGCGTGCCAGTCTTCAAATCTCTTTATCAACTTTCCCACCTCTGCTCTCTCAGTACCTAGTGATGGATTACTATGCAGGTGGGGACCTGCTGACTCTGCTTAGTAAATTTGGAGATCGGCTCCCCGAGGACATGGCTCAGTTCTACCTGGCAGAGATGGTCATGGCCATTGACTCTGTCCACAGACTGGGTTATGTACACAGGTAGACTACTCTCTTCTTTGAAATACTGCTGACTTCTTCTTTTTTTAAACATGTTTGAAAAACATATTTGTTTTAGACTACAGGCAAAAGCCATTCCAACTTAACTAAAATGTTAACCGTGTTTGTTTCTTTGGCTCAAATATTTTTTGGTAATAAGCCCAACAAACTTTATGAGGTGTATCAGAAAAGTTTCAGGCCTGGTGTCACAAAAGATATATTTCAAATCCAAACTACAAACTACAAGTTTTCCCCTTTGAAGTAATCCCCCTGGAGTCTAAACCAGGGGTGGGCAATCCTGGTCCTCGAGGGCCACAATCCTGCATGTTTTAGATGTTTCCCTCTTCCAACACAATGATCAGGATCGTTATCAGGC